TCAGTTCATCAAAACTCTTTTGACATGATTCATCCCAAACATATTTGGTATTCTTCCTCAACAGTTTAGTCAATGGTGCAGCAATTTTAGAAAATCCTTCTACGAACCGCCGATAGTAACCCGCCATGCCAAGAAAACTTCTCAACTCAGACACATCTTTTGGTGGAGCCCAACTCACCACTGCTTCCACCTTTTTCGGATCCACCTCGACACCTCTTCCAGAAATTACATGTCCCAGAAATATTACCTCCTTCAGCCAAAACTCACATTTTGAGAATTTTGCATATAATTGTTTCTCCCTTAGAATTTGCAACACAATTCTAAGGTGAGTTTTGTGCTCCTCCTCGCTTTTAGAATAGATGAGAATATCATCTATGAACACAATCACAAACTTATCAAGATATTCATGGAAAACTCTATTCATAAGAGCCATAAATACTGCTGGTGCATTAGTGAGTCCAAAAGGCATTACCAGGAACTCATAATGCCCATATCTTGTTCTAAAAGCTGTCTTTGAAGTTGCCCCATCTGCCACTTTCAATTGATGGTATCCAGACCTCAAATCAATCTTAGAAAAGACTGATGCACCCTGCAATTGATCAAACAAATCATCTATTCTTGGAAGGGGATAACGGTTCTTCACTGTCGCCTTATTCAACCTCCGGTAGTCAATGCACATTCTCATGGAGCCATCTTTCTTCTTGACAAACAAAACCGGTGCACCCCATGGTGAGATGCTAGGTCGAATAAACCCCTTGTCTAGCAATTCTTGCAATTGTTCTTTAAGCTCCTTCAGCTCAATTGGTGCCATTCTATATGGTGCCATTGAAATTGGTGTTGTGCCAGGTACCAATTCAATATCAAACTCTACTTCCCTTTCTGGTGGAAGGCCGGGAAGTTCTTCGGGGAATACATCAGGAAATTCCCTTACCACCTCTACATCCTCAACCTTCTTATCATTTACTACAGTAACTTGAGCAAGAAAGGCTTCACAACCATCCTTCACTAATCGAAAAGCTTCCAAGGCAGAAAGAAAACCATGAGTCTCCTTTTTCTTAATGCCTCGGAATACAACAGGACCTTTATCTGGTGTGTTGAATAACACTTCTTTCTTTTGACAATCCACAACAGCTCCATGTGTTGCCAGAAAGTCCATTCCAAGGATGACATCAAATTCATCAAAAGGTAGCAGAATTAAATCTGCTGCTAGGAAAGCTCCTTCCACACAAATGAAGGAACTTCTAATAACTGAGTCTACCTTCAAGTTATCTCCCACAGGTGTTTTAACACATAAGGTATAACCTAGCTTATCTGGAACTAAGCGTAGCATATGTGCAAACGTATATGACATGAATGAGTGAGAGGAACCAGTATCGATCAAAGCATATAATTGCTTGCCAAGGATAGAAAGCATACCAGTTACAACTTCTGGTGCCACTTCTGCCTCACCTCGAGTCATTGCATAAACCCTCGGTGCTCCCTGTGCTCTGGTACCCTGCGTACCACTTCCTGATGGCTGATTTCGACCACCACCTCTACCACCCTGTGAACCACCACGACCACTCTGAAATCCACTACGGCCTCCCTGGTAACCACCCCTGAATGGGGCTCTACTCATTTGCACTGAAGGCTCGGACTGTGTAGCTCTTACTTCTCTCGCATGCGGGCAATCCCTCATGATGTGCCCAGGTTGGCCACAGTGAAAGCATACACCAGAAAATCTCCTACACTCTCCAAGATGCCTCTTCTGACAAACTTGACAAAATGGAAATTGTGTAGCTGAGGAAATTGGTGCCCTGTATGATGTTCCCGACATAGATTGACTTGGTGTTCTCCCAAAACTGCTAGGACCTCTCTTGGGTGGGTAACGAGGTCCAGCATAATTTACTCCAAACTTCCTCTTCTTCTCCTCTTCTTTGGCCTTGTGTTCCTCTCGGCTCTCAACTTCATAGGCTTCATACTTAAGTGCTGCCTCCTTGATTGTGGCCATGCTCTCTTCATCAACCCTGTGGATCTTTTCTTTCAATCCTATGCGCAGACCATGCAAGTATCTCATCTTCTTCTTATGCTCAGTATCCGCCAACCCATCCTCAAAGTAGAGTAGTCGAACAAACTTGATGGTGTACTCAGTAACTGTCATATTCTCCTGCTTAAGGTTGGCAAATTCATTGTTCTTTGCCCTGATAAAAGCTTCGGGAAGAAACTCTGTCTTAAAGGCCTTCAGAAACTCCTCCCAGGTGAACTGAACTCGTTCACCATTAACTCTAGAGACTGAGGACCACCAGCTCCTCGCATACCCCTTTAGGAGAAAAACAACATATTGCACTTTTTCCTCTGGGGTTGCATAAAGATACTCAAACACATCTTCCATCTCTCTCAACCACTCTACTACAGCATCTGGGCTCACATCTCCCTTAAAGTCCCTACCACCCAAACTCTTCATCTTTGCATAATCTAATACTGGCGGTCTTGCATCAACCGCCCCCACTCCTCTCGACTGGTCAGTAGGAACATTTTCACAACTTCCGTGCGAGCTACAAGGAAATATTGGCCTTAGATTGATCCACACAAAATTCATTCTTCACCAAATCTCTCACTTGGTTAAAACAAAATTTTCCAAAATAATTACTTGAAAACATAAAAGTTCAAAACTCAATTTTGAAAACCATGATGCAGATAATTTCATCCAACATACCAATACACATAATCATGTCAAACTTAATTCCCAGTTTAAGTCATTATGGGGTACTCCCCTCCTTAGGAGTGTTTAACCTCCCATAGGGTATAGTACGCCATAACAGCAAAAAGAGGGAACCGGGCTCTGATACCAAACTGTAACACCCTACCCTATACGTTTTGCCTAATCATATTGTTCATACAATTGCAGCGGAAATAATCTCGGGTGTTACATTAATTATCAAAATTTACCTAAATAAAATTTCGACATGAATTACTCGCGTAATGGGCTAACAGTTCTTGCAACTTAACCTGCAAAGTAATTCATCACAAACATATATACTCACAACCATATGCATTGGCTTTTCTTAGCCATAGTCACACTTTTCATACTTCCTAACTGCATACCATACTTATACATACCATAATCGTCACAACTTACACAGTTACACAACATATACACATATCATTAATTTTCCACACCTGTGGATATCTCACACTAGATCAGAAGCTAGTATGCACATGAAAAACGTTCTCAAAACATTCTTTTACAAAAAGGTGTGGATCACTGGCCAAAATCCCGAGTAGTAGTCCAAGCACAGAATAGTTGAAGACCATACCTCATCCTGGCTTCAACTCTAGCTCCTCTCCCACCTAACACTTATCTACTGCTGCTGCTGATGATCTGCTTACACATAGCATAAGCAGAGAAGAAGAATAAAAGAGGGTCAGCTCATAGCTGAGTGAGATAATCATAGCATCGTGAGTTCATAACAGAGCATACCCATACCATACATCTAGCAAACGAGCAAAAACACTAGGATCGGACCTCAGCCATCCTCATATCCCAATAAGCAAAAGACTCAACCACTTTGACTTATGCATATGCATCTTATCATGTTTTAATCATAGGCGCCTGGCTACTCCCATGCTAATAACTCTCCCGGGAAACATACCCCACATCCCGTCGGATGTAGTCATACATACCCAACATCCCGTCGGATGTGGTCATACATACCCCACACCACTATGGGTGTAGTCATACCCCGACACCACTCTGGGTGTGGTCATATCTCGTAAGAATTCTTGAGTCACCACCACATGAGAGGTGTGACTATCATACATATCATAATAGAGTAATAGCATAGGGAGCCCTAATTACTATGTAGTTGACCGTGAGACCACAACACTCATATTTGGTATCCTTATACATGATTCATATCTCAACTTGCTTAATCATAATTCATTACTTACACATGTACTTGACCTGGCCACAATTGGCTCAACATAGGTAAATCAGGAGTCGTATAATTGCATTTCCTCGGGATAAACCCTTGTGCAAGTCATCCTCCTTAAACATCATAATATCACCCTGGGAAGTTTATTTTCCCCACTTGTGAATCCAAAAACAACCACAATATCACATCATGTCAAAAACCCTTATCGAACAACCATAAAGTCATATCAACAGTTAAGCCACAAATGGCAACATGTAGGCAATCATCCACATAAACAAGGTTCATATCGATTAGGGCAAGTCAATAATATCATACAGTAGTCCAGGGTTCATCATATAGCACAAAAGTCCATACACCCCTAATCATGCCATTCTAGTTCAACTAGGTCAATTCTAAGCATCAATATAATTATCGTGATACGACAAACCCGGTATGCCGTGCTAATCCCTCACCAGTTCTGGTCGTTCAAACACCGGTTTAACCTTCCCGTACTAAAATGTCAATTTCACGAACGAACCCCGAATTAAAATCCGAGACCGTCCTAATATCCCCTGCAGTATCCCCGTCAATATTAGTTCTGGGCTCCGGGTCAAGTTCTCGATAAAAACACATCAAACCCTGGCCGGAGCTAAATTCAGCGGTTTGGCCCCCGGCCTAAATAATAGCCGAAATTCAGGGATTAGAACTAAAGGATTGATTACCTCGCTGCAGGAAGCTCGTATATGAAATTTGGGCTCAATCCGGCTTCCGGATACTCCGAAACCCTAATTTGGCAGATCGGGAATTCAAGAAATTCCTGAACCAAAAACTCGTTTTAAAGCTCTAAATCGATAAATCACGATGAATGGATGAATTAGGCATTACTTACGGGATTTTTGGATCACTGTAGCTCAAGAATTTGAGCTTTGAAATTTTGGGTCGAAAGCTCCGCGCGTGCTCTGTTTCTCTCGTTTCTCTCGGTCGAGAATGGAAATAAACGATGATGAGAATTGTGAATTAAAGGGACGGTGGAATTATATATATGCCCGTCCACTTTATGTAATTATATATATATATATATATAATTAATACGTATACTTATCCGATCGATTGATAATCCGATTTTTGTCGAAATATTGTTAAAACGCTCGATTTTAAATCGCGAACTTTCTAACTATCGAAATATGGGTTTTAGCCGAAATGGGATGTTACATCCACCATCCCAAGAGCTTACTGCACAGATGATGGGCCAAAGTGGTCAAGCCCACATGACCCATCAGTTTCTTCCTTACATGGGCTTGACTCAGTCACAGGTGGGCCTTAATGAAGGAGGAAATAATTCCTTTTTTCTACAACAGAACCAGGAAGGCGGCCCGTCTTACTCCCATAGGCCCATTTCCAACAAAATTGTTTCTGAAGCCAACAACAATTCAAAGGAGGTGGACATTAACCAGGTTATTGTGCAACTGGGAGAAACAGGTCTGAAGACAATGGAGCACCCCTGCTTCCCACAGAAAAAGAAAAGGAATCAAGGGAAGGAACTGGATTTCGAAGGCCCCTACTTCTCCCATGGGGGAATCCCAGCACCAACGCAAAGCCCCAAGAGCAGAGCTATAATTAGGAAAAGCAAGACGAAACCAACTGGAAAGATGGAGAAAGAATCACAGCCTGAGAAGCAGCAAGTGTGGGCTGAGGATAAGAAAATTTCTGAAGTGTAGGTGGCCAACTATAAGCCACCACAAGAACCATGAGCGGCTTATGTTGGAACTGCCGGGGGATTGGGCCCCCTCGGACAGAGAAGCAGCTAGAGAAGATGATTAAGAAGTTTAAGCCCTCTTTTGTGTTTCTTATGGAAACAAAAAACAACGAAGATACCGTGAAACAACTGCAACTACGCAACAAGTTTCCTGAAAGTTGCTATGTCAATCCGGAGAGGACAGCTGGTGGTTTGACTCTATGGTGGGCAGCTGATTTCCCTCTTCAAGTTTTGGATAGAGGACGGCATTTTATTGATGTTTTTGTTAGTTATGGGTGTGGGTTTTTTATGACCTTTGTTCACGCTCCCTCAGTTGCTAATGAGAGGAGAGTGTTTTGGGATAGGATTTCCAGATTTCGTAATGTTCCTAATGTACCATGGGTTGTGTTAGGCGATATGAATGCAATGATTTATGACTATGAGAAGAGTGGGGTTGGGCCTTTGCGACGCGAATCAGTTGAACCATTCAAATCTTTCATCTTCGACAATGGACTCATGGACATGGGATTCAAAGGTCCTCAGTTTACTTGGTCTAATAGAAGAAGAGGTGATCGGAATATCAAAGGGAGGCTGGACAAAGCACTATGTACTCCTGAATGGAGAGAAAACTTTGGGGAAGCTACCATCTATCATGAGAGTTACATTGGCTCGGATTATAGAGCTGTGAGGATTGAATTACACTCACGAGGAAATTGGAATAAGCCACCCTTTCGGTTTGACGCTCGTTGGATCGGTAAGGATGAATGTGACGCCATTGTTCTTGCAGCTTGGGCTGTGGAGGGAAACATAGAACAAAGACAGAAGAGATGTGTTGGTGAGCTCAAAGACTAGGCAAGAAGGATGATTCAGGATCAACAAAAACGTGAAACAGAAATCAAAGACAGATTGGAGGCCCTAGAGAATCTGATTCGAACTGAAGATACAGAAGAAGAGGAGAGGATCTTATTGGAGGAATTGGACTCTCTTTGGAGGGATGAAGAGAAAATGTGGAGGCAGAGGTCCAGGATTCAGTGGCTTGCAGAAGGGGATCGGAACACTAAATTCTTTCACTCTACCACTGTTTTGCGTCAACATTTTAACCGGATTGTGGGATTGAAGAATGAAAGGGGTACATGGATCAAGCGACCACTTGACCTTGCTAACCACATTAAGGGTTTCTATCAAAATCTTTTCTCTGGCAGAAGCATGGATTTTGATGGACACCTCCTGCAAGGCTTCCCACAACTTGTTTCTCAGGAAATGAATGATATCTTGTGCAGACCGGTTACAAATGGGGAGATTAAACAAGCTGTGTTCTCCCTTGGACCTCACAAATCACCAGGTCCAGACGGCTTTTCAGGACAATTCTACAGGAACTATTGGGGATCAATTGAGGACAATTTTTGTGAAGAGGTCGAATCTTTCTTCATGGAGTCCTCTCTCCCATCGGGTTGGAATGATACTCATATCGCTCTTATTCCAAAAATATCATCTCCAGAGATGATTAGCCAATTTCGGCCGATAAGTTGCTGCAATTTCAAGTATAAGGTGATTTCTAAGATCATGGCAAGCAGACTGAAACCAATAATACCGGAGCTTGTTTCAGACATGCAGGCTGCATTTACTGGAGGTCGAGTGATTCAGGATAACATCATCATTGTTCATGAGGTCTTGCACCATCTCAAAAATCGCCGCCAGGGTAAAAAGTACGACATGATGCTGAAAATGGACATGCGGAAGGCTTATGACTTGGTGGATTGGGAGTGCCTCACTTCCCTCCTTCAAGCGTATGGCTTTAATCAAACATGGTGTGATTGGATTATGGAATGTGTTAGAACTGTGAGGTTTTCCATCCTCATAAATGGAGGTCCAAAGGAGTTCTTCACACCCTCGAGGGGTATCCGCCAAGGTGATCCTATCTCCCCCTTTCTCTTCATCCTTATGGCTAATGCTCTGTCTTTTTTGTTGGATAAAGAAACTTCGCAGGGAGCGATTCATGGCCTGAAACTGAAGCCGAGCTGCCCAAGGTTGTCCCATTGCTTATTTGCCGACGATACAGTCAACTTTGGGGAGGCTTCACTGGAGGAGGCAACTAAGATTATGAGCATAATCAATGGATACAGTTATATTACCGGGCAAGAGGTGAACTTGGAGAAGTCCTCGATCTTTTTCAGCAAGAACACTCCGGATTCTTTGAGAACCCAGATCGCTGCCCATATTGGATTTCCGCCGACTATTACTCATGACTAGGGCTGTTAATGAGCCGAGTCGAGCCGAGCTTTGCCATAGTTCGGGCTCGGCTCGTTAATATATTTCCAGGCTCGAGCTCGGCTCGTGTTCGTCACGAGCTTTAATATGCAAGCTCGAGCTCGGCTTGTTTATGAAAATGAAAGCTCGAGCTCGACTCGAGCTCGGCTCGTCAAATAAGCTTAACGAGCCCAAATTCGTGTTCAGCTCATAAAATGTTCATGATAGCTCAAGATTGACCTAGAACTGCGCACAAAATTACATTCTAACCTCTAACAAAGTCTAGCAAAGTAAAACACAATATTTATCCCAATTTCAATACATAAAATCCATGAATTCTAATCCTTTTTTATGTCAAACCATTAAATGAGCTTATTCGCGAGCTTTTCGAGCTGAACATGGTATGGCTCGAGTTCGGCTCGTTTAGTTAACGAGCTTGTTCGCGAGCCTGTTCGATTAAAACGAATCGAGTGTCGAACGAGTTTTTCTCGAGTCGCACACCGAGCCGTTCATGAGCGGCTTGGTTCATTAACAGCCCTACTCATGACAAATATTTAGGGGTTCCGACGGAGTGGGGACGGTCCAGGAAAGAGACTTTCAGCTTCCTCATCAGTCGAATGGAGAAGAGAGGAGAATCATGGAAGAGCTTGTTGTTGTCTCGGTTCGGGGGGAAGGAGACTCTGCTCAAGTCAGTCATACAAGCAATCCCCACCTTCATTATGAGTGTCTTCCTGCTACCATTGTGTCTGACTAGGAAGATGGACTCTTTGGTGCGTAATTTCTTTTGGTCTGGGAAGATGCAGAAGAAGGGCCTCCGTTGGTGTAAGGGTCAAATCCTTTGCGATCCAAAAGCAGATGGTGGCCTGGGATTTCGCAATTTCCATATCTTCAATTTAGCTCTTATTGCTAAGCAAGGATGGAGGTTGTTGAATGAGCTTGAATCTCTGTGGGCACGTCTTCTTCGAGGATTGTATTTCAACAATGGGGATTTCCGCTCGGCGAGGAAAGGAAGCTCTCCGTCATGGATTTGGGCAAGTCTTTGTGATGCACGGCAAGCCCTCGACATCGGCTTAATTCGGGTTATTGGAGATGGAGATGGAACTTGGATTAATAGGGATCCTTGGATTCCAAATCTGGATGACCACCGCCTTTCTACTGTTGTTGACCCTTCTCTTAGAGTCGGTGATTGGATTAATGTTGAGGAGCGACGATGGAACCTTGACTTAATCCAACAACAGTGCTCCCCCAGGAAGTTGATGCTATTTCTCGAGTTCCTATTGGCCCTCTCAATACGAATGATAAATGGGCATGGAGGCCTACTCCCAATGGTGCCTTCTCAGTGAGAACAGCATATCATGGCCTTCGTGCACATTTGAGAGAGGTCGACCCAGCTTTAGTGGACCTCAATATACCGACAAGTGACGAGGTGTGGAAATGGCTTTGGGCGATCAATTTACCCCCAAAGATCCACTTTTTCCTTTGGAGATGCATTCGAGGAGCGCTTGCTACCAGAGAAAAGCTGCATAACCGGAGATGCTCCCCCGATAAGAAATGCCAGATCTGCGGAGCTCAGGTTGAATCGGCTATCCATTGCCTCTTTGTTTGCCCCCATGCAGAGGCGACTTGGGAAATCGTCTCTCCATCTACTTCCCCTCCTCCTAACTTGGCTAATTGGATCTGTGGCCTGCGAGAAGAACCAGATCTTGCGATCATAAGGAGAAAGGTTTTCTGTATTTGGAATATTTGGAAGGCCCGAAATGGCTTCATCTTTCGAAGTGAGACAGTGTCCCCGGCGTCCTCCTCCTTTCAAGCTTTTCGAGATGCAGCTGAGCCTCAGACGATGATCACTTCCTCGTCTCCCGTTTCACAGCCCAGGGACGATCATCAACAACCGTGTCCACCGCCAACAACACTCACGAGAAGGATTTATTGTGATGGTTCGTTCGATCCTATTTCAAGAGAGGCGGCTTATGGGGTGGTTATTACTAACCCTCATGGACAGTTTGTGGATGGTAAGGCTGACGGGTTGTTTGTTCATCCCCTATAGAGACTAAAGCCTACGCTTTGTTGGAAGCATGTAAGTTGGCGATGAGAGAGCATGTCTCATCAACTATATTTTCAGATTGTAAAGCTCTAGTGGATGCTCTGAAGAACCACTCGGATTTGTGGCCCTGGAATTGCTACGCCATCCTCTCCTCCATTCAACGTATCATCCAGGTGTCCAGTTGGATCAACATTGCCTTCACTTGCCGACGGAACAACAAAGAAGCAGACTGGATTGCCCGAAATGCTAGATTAAACACCCTCCCCCAGGACTGGCTTGTTGTTCTTAATATCATCTATGCTATCCTGTAATTGTACCAATCTCTAAGGGAATGAATGAATGAATGTTTTCTTCGAAAAAAAACTGAATTTATAAAGGTACCTCGGACCCAAAAAATGAACTGTCCGTTTCGGCAAACTCTCTAATATCAATTCCACGATTGATTCTGCCATCTTTGGCTCAGCTAAAGGATGGAGATGGAAGAATAAACCTCAAGAATGTACGGTCAAGATGCAATAACCAACTAGATAACCGAAGCATGGAGGTGTTCTCACTATCATCTACCAGCAGAAAAGTCCCTTCCTTCCCCAACTATATGCTCTTTTTACTCAACTCCACCGACAAAAGTTTCTAAAAGCATTGCCGCTCTCATTGGAAAACATGAACAAAAATCAACTAGATGCCCAAGTTAAATGAACAGTAACTAAATAGAAGCATCCCATCTCCCACCAAAATTGCAGTCTTGTAAAGGGCTGGGACAGGAAGCAGTGGTGCTTATCACTTCAGATAGGTGGAGGAAATCCATAGCAGCACATAGGTTAGCAAAGAAGTTATCACTTCAAAGCTCCTAGGTCCTTTAATGATTGGCACCGGAGGGATTATAGATACCATCAAGAAGGTTCCAAGCAGCCACGAGAAAATGAAAGCTGCAACCCTGCAATATGGCAACAAACAAACAAACAAGTGCTTCAAGCTTTACCATCCATAGAGCAGACAAGTCAAAACAAAAGAGAACTCGTAGCAATACCATACAACACATACCCGTAGAGCACAGCTCTCAGTCTGCTGTTCAATCGGTCATATATGAAGTACATAGTAGCCACTAGGGAGATCGCTACTTGAAGGGTTGGGCCTTCCTCAGTTGGAAACAGAACAGTGAGAGCTCCAAGTACAAGGAATGCAACTGTTGTTTTAACAATGACACTTGTTGAAGGGGTGCGGAATCTGTTTGTCACGGCCTGCACAAATCGGGACTGCTTAACTTCCCTAACCTTTTTGTTGATATCGATCTTGGGGTTCTTTCTATCATAAAACTTCTGCATGATTATCTTGTCATGTGCCGTTTCAATTGCATCCACACTCGGTTTGTGTCCACCATATCTCTGAATTAGGAAGTTTCGTGCACCTTGAATTTCATCTTCAGAGGCTTCCCTGCTTATCCCAAGTCGTTTGTACGGGTCCCTTACATGGATTCTCGGGAAAACAACTGAACTTGCAGAGCCAATTTGTGATAAGAAAAAGTATTAAGAAAAAGAATATCCCTATCTCAGTCTAAATATATCACCAACAACCACAATGAACTAAATCATAAGGTACAATATAGACGACAAAAAGTTAATGGTACAATGTGACATCAAGAACAAGTGATAATGTTATATCTACATGACTACATGCACCTAAAGCACAAAGAAGAACAAAGGAATCCACCAAAGCACAATAAAGCACATCAAGAGAGGGCTATCCTACCTGAAATCTAATAACTATAGACATACTCATAACTGGAAACATGTACAAGAACATGAAGTTCATTCCTGTTATTTAGTTAAAAGAGTTCATCGGAATAAAGTGAGACCAACAAATTGATAAGCAGCTGAAGATAACTCTTGCGTATTGAGAAAGGGTACACAACTATTTTAATCCAATGTATGTTCTACATAAAACATGTCATCTGCTTTTTGTCTACAAACAAGATGTGTATTACCAAATTTCTAAAATTGAACTGAAGTTTAAGCTAAAACTACTTTGTAATCCCATCAAACACCGAAGCAGAAGATTAAGTACATTCATCAACCATCAAGAAGATTCATGAATACCAGATTGGTTATCCGTACCATCTCCACCATAGGAAGCATCCATAGCGCATTTGACAACATAAGTTTGCCGCGGTCTGAATGTTCGCACCAGTCTAGTTGCCCAGCTTCTGCAGAGCTCCACCAGGAAGACCAACCCATTTATTTCACATGAAGTCCCAAAAGTTGAGGGGTTGAAATTGAACAATATGATTGCACACAAAATACCTTTGCAATGGGAGAAACCCAATATTCTTCTCTCGAGTTCTATCCCCGCTACAAACAGCTAAAACACGTTGGCCGGAAGTACTCAAGCCAGGTGCCCGCGCACCACACTTAGTGGGAGCAACAGCTAGTCCAGACATGCTCATCTCTACAATGAGCCCTCTAACAACATAGCAAAACCCAAACTGGAAGCTATGAGAACCTTGATATAACCAGTCTAGAGAAAGAGTAAGCAGATTTCTGAATCACTGCCATTCAAGAACTACAGCGTCACCGGAATTAAGAAGATAAGGAACAATCCAGAAACAAAAGGGGCCGGAAATCCACTGAGTCAAACGAATTGAATTTATCAGGCGCAAGAGAAGAACTGAATGAGACATAACCTTACCAGAGCTTCCGGCCTCCTGCGGCGGAGATTCTGAGTCGGAGAAGCGAGGAGCTTAGAGCTGGCGGAAGAGCACCGAACCCTCCCTCTGCATAATTCTGAGTGGAAGGAAATAGCTCAACTTTGGCTTTGGTTGTGGGACCATATTGCCGCCGCGACTTTCATCTTTTGTTTTGACGGTGCGTGCGAGATTGACCCGTGAGGGCGCGACCACGGTGATCCTTACATTTGTCCAGACGACAACGTTTCGGGAGTTAAGAGACAGGTGAGAAATTAAAAACATTAGTAAATACAATGTATTTATTAGCCAAACGTTTTGGTAATCCACAAAAATAAATAGCCTAAAAATATTAAAATGCAAAAAACTAGCCATTTTATTTTTTGGTAAGAACTAGCCAAACATTTGATAGGATTACAAAAAAAAAGTCATGTTCCGTAAAATTTGTTAATTCTAACTATGTGTTAGACCGATTTATAGGTAAGCCGATACATCAAGGGTAGCTCAATTGATTCGGGTATAAGTATACATGTATTATCCTCTCATATCATGATTATTTGAATTGGTTATCGTCATCTCTCGACATACTTTATACTAAGTTGTGCTTTTTTGTCACATTTCAGGTCCTAATATGTGTGTGAAGATCGATGATGAGTTTTGGGCCATTCGGAGGTCAAACGAGCCAAAAAGTGGAGCATGTGCAAGGTTCACGGGCATAATGCAATTATCACCCTCTGTGGGAGTGAAAATCTCCCCCCAAACCGTGAATTGCAAGACTTCACGGGCAAGAGGCAATAGTCACGCCCTGAGACTGAGAGGGTGAAAATCTCCCCAGACCGTGAAGTGTGCAAATTCCAGCAATCATTGTGCATCTCGCGGGCTGTGCAAACTTCAAGGTCTTAGACCGTGAAAATCAATTGTGACCTTGAAAAAATCGTGTGTTTTTGGCCGAGATCCTAGAAAGGAGAGCTAGTTTTTGGAGAAGAACTTGATTATGTCTCTAGGGTTTTGACCCAACACACCAAAGAGGAGTTTTTAGAGAGAGTGAGTGACCTTAAGTGATCTTGTAGCTTAATTGGAGGCTTGGGTTGATCTTGGAGTCAAGGATTCAAGCCTGTAAAATGAAGATCTTGAGCTATTTTTGTAATCTCTCTTCTCTCTCTATGAACTAGACCTCTTTCTCTTAGGTTGATGAACCTTGATCTAGATTTTGGTTTGAAGTTGATGTATGTGACATATTCTATGTTTGATTGATGATTTTATCTATTTGATGGATGATTTTCATGAATTGCATGATTTTTTATTCCACTTCATGTCCATTGAGCTTTTAATCTAGGAGGGAGATAATCTCCTTAGAAACCATTATTGGCATCTCCGGGTATTCCTCATTCTATGTCGTCCAGGTAATCCCCTAGGGAGTTGATTCGATTGATCTCCTGATGATATAGGATTGCCTTAGGTTGAATAGAGCGCTCCCCACCCATCACTTCATCGTTCGGGGTCAATCCCGAGTGAGTTGATCTCCTAACGGTAGGGTAGTGAGTCGGGCATGCTAGGATAGTACGCAACATCGATCCAAATGATAGAACTAGGGAGATTCAAACCTAAGAGAGCTCCACCACTTATAATTAGCTAGGTTAGTGGTTAGCTAGATTAGATTAGTTTTCATAATCACTATTATAGGTTGGCTAGAGAATGAAACCTAACCCGAAGTAAGTTACACCTAGGAGACCTATGGTTCGATAATTTTATTGCTTGTTTACCCTATGCTACACTAGGTCATCAGTTCTGCTTGACTGTCAATTGGAATGTGTGGTTAGAGTCCACCTGCTGAGATCTGAAACATGCTAAAACACGCACAAACCTAGCGTAAAATTGCTCCTCGGACGACGCAAAGCCACAAACATCAAAAGAGGAAGGGGTACAAATATGTGCAATTATACTCGAATCAATGCGGTAGTTAACCAATAGTCGTTTGCCACCGAAAGGGTTGTTTGTGCCACTAGATAGCAACCATATTAGATCGACGAGGAGTAAATGTACAAGTAAAATATGTAAACATTGTTGAACGAGACCACACTTCCTTCAAGAGAGCTCCCCCACATAATGTAATACATTCTTGAGAAAGACCCACCAAACTAGTAATTGCGAGCCACCACAGATGTTCACCACAAGAAACCCATGCGTTAGACACCAATTCATCTCATCTCGAAAGGCAAGAAGTTTCATGAGAAACAGATTCTACATACCTTCATGTATATTTTTCTAAATGCAAAAAGAAGCTAACCCTCTACGACAAATCCAAAGAAGCCAATTCCTCCACCCTGCAGTGAGAGAAACATAGACTTTGCTTGGCACAATCGGATGTGGGCAGCAAGTCCATCCTCCACAAATCTGAAAGTTTGGACCTTTGAACGTTGGACCTAGACTGGAAGACCTAACAACCTATTTGGATGGACAAAAAATTCAGGAATTAGAATTCCATTTCCTATTCTATTTCATTATTCTATGTTTGGAAAGGTGAGAAAGTTGAGAAATGAATTCCATTTGATCTAAATTGGCTAAATTACACGTTTGGTCACTCAAATTATACTAATCTTTCACGTTTGCCACTCAAATTACTTTTCTTTCTTATTCGCCACTAACTTTACAAATCGTTTCACCGTTAGTCACCGGCTGTTACACTCCGTTAAATTTGTCCTACGTGGCAATCAACTATAAAGTTTGACCATTAACTAGATGATATGGAAATTAAAAATAAATTTATTTTTCCAACTCATTATTCTACTTTTCTCTATGTGCTTTATCCTATTCATTATTAAATAAAAAATAAAAAAATTACACAAATTAATTGTCAGCCAGCACTACAACTCTCTGTTAAGTTAGCGGAGAGACCAGGATGATCGCCGACGTCGTCCCTCGATTGATGACCTTCTCCTCCCTCACCAAGCTCTCCGGCCTCCCTACCGTCACCGTCAAGTACCAGCCCCCCTCGACCATCTTCTTCTTCTTCTTCTTTTCCATCCACCAGTGTCCAACTTTGCAGATCCTCCATCGACTCTGATTGGCTCTCGCTCTGCTTGTTGTTATACTCCCCGAGAATTTCCGGTTGATCGGGAGAGTCGGACTCCGAATCACCGTGGGCGTTGTCTACAGCTTCAATTATAGCTGGTGATTCTAGGGATTCGTGATTTTCAACTCTTGAATCGGCGATTGAAATCGACAAACTCTTGCAACGCGATGACCTTCTTGACCCGCTTCCTGAAATCCCTGACTCTAGGTTCCAAGCCAGGGATGGAATCCATCTTGAAAACCAAACTCATGAGAGTCTCTTTAACCTTGAGCTGCCCGTTGGTATCTCTGCAAATCAGATCCGTGGTATTTGAGATCCTGATTTTCACAGCGCTTAATCTCGTTTCTTATCCCTGCAATCTTTTTCAAGCTCTTTCTCACCGTGAATCCCCAGAACACCTTCTGGATCTTCTTCGCGGCCGAGCCCGATCTACGGAGTAGCATATCCGAAGGCCTCGATGGAGCCAGAGAAGAGGAGTCGACGAAGTGGACTAGGACCGCCACCACCTTTCCCGCCGACGGTGTGTGAGAAGGAGAAGGCACGGCGGGGTAGTAGTATTGACGTCGGTAATTCCATCGTTACCATAGAAGGAACTCGCCAAGAATGGATTTGGTACAAGTTTTGTACTTTGGGGGAACTCCTAGAGCAGGCGGTGATGTGCACTTTGTTCCTCTCGCTGACAATTAATTTTTTGTAGTTTATTAATTTTTATTAATTAATTAATATGATAAATCATATAAACAAACTAACAAAGTAAGTGGAATGATGTGGTGGTAAAATAAATTCTTTTTTAATTTTTTTAATTTCCACATCATCTAGTTAACGATCAAACTTTATAGTTGACTGCCACGTAGGACAAATTTAACGGAATGTAAAGGTCGGTGACTAATGATGGAACGATTCGTAAAGTTAGTGGCGAATAAAAAAGAAAAGTACGGGTATAAATGTGAAAAATTTGTATAATTTGAGTGACTAAACATGTAATTTAGCCGATAGAAGGAATTGGATTTACATCCCGATGGGAAAGAAGGAAAAGACAGTCTTTTACTTCTCGAAGGCAAGGAACTTGCTTGCTGCTACCAAGCCTTATTTCTTAAAAAGCCAAAGGAAAGGAACGAAGTAGTGAGCCCAAATTATGGAAACTAGAATTCCTATCAAAAGTTATAAGAATTGGCTTTATGGAGATGAAATTAGTGAGACCATGTATATTTATTGTTATTTTATCACTCCACTATCATATTCCTCTCTTTCTCTCTCATTTATATCTCATTTTTCAAGATAAAAAATATATACAAAATTATTAATAATTGTTAAAAGTACAACTCATTTCCAAAGTTGTGGGAATTATACCAAACACAAAAGTTGGAAATGAAATTCCGTAAAAGTTAGAATTAGAAATTAAATTCTGGGGTCGTTTGGAAGTTGCGATAGTTTTGTTGAGATTGTCATTATGCATGTATTATTTACAATGCATCGTTTTTTTGTTTTTTTTAGCAGAAACAATACATGGATTGTTTCTGTCATTTTGAGTGATTGTTATATCTCAACTTTTAGTTGTGATTGTTGAGATAGTTGAATTTGAGATTGTTTTATCTCAAACAATTTTCATTTTTATGGAAATGTATCTAAATATTTGTCCGCAACAATTGCTTCCACCACCCCTAGAAAGGAACTCAGGATTGCTCGTTCTTGCTCATTAAAATTAGCAACTAACCGTAATAGTAGACTTTTGTTCGGTCACTTTTTGACCACTCGAAGTTTTAGGGCTCAATTACTTTCATTTTTTTTTTGCTTGTTTCCTATTTTCATTCCATAAATCATGCACCAGACACGAGAAAACTTGTTTATTTTTCATCTTGTTTCATATTCGTTTCCAACTTTAGAAACATAAAACGGTAACTTCATGTTGTTTCCACCATTTTCCAATATCTGTTTTCTCATACTTTTAACAAACAAATATTTTTTATTGACGAGGTGAGATATTCTAATAACATTACTCAAAATTATTTTTATTACATTTACTTTAATCCTTTAGGGTGTTTTTTACCTAACTTTTATCTTTTATTATATATTGTCACCTTATAGACTATTTGAAACCAAACAAATCGATATTATTTCACTTCAAGAGTGTGTAAAATTCATTTCAAATGAATTCCTATATTTACAAATTAATTAAACTGAACTCCCAAACATATTTAGAACACATTTATGATTGAATTAAATCAAAACCTTCCCAAATGTACTCTAAATTTAATAACGAAATTGCTTCGAACATAATTTATATTCAAAAGTAATCATTGAAAATGCACCAACTACTAGTGTTGCAAATGAGCCGAGTCGAGCCGAGCTTTATCTCAGCCTAAGCCCCCCTCTTTAATAAACATGTTGAGCTCGAACTCTGCTCGTTTATTAACGAGTCGAGTCGAGCTCAAGGTAGACTTGTTTACTAAAATCTTGACTCGTATTTGATACTTCATTTTGTATGTCATGTATGATACATGTGAGTGATGATTAAAAAAAAATTAAAAATCATAAACCACAACTATTATCTTTTATATAGGCGAAGATGAAAAGAAAAGAAAAAAAAAGTGAATCTCTACATATACATATTGCATTGCTAAACGACTTGCCAATTAGCAAGAAACACTCCATCCATAGCAATTGTCACCCAAATATCACCTTGTTGGATTTTGCTAAAATACTTGCCAATTAGCAAGAAGCACTCCATCTCTAGCAATTGCCACCCAAATACCACCTGACCGTAGCAATGGACATGGTCCTATCCCTTTTTGTTCAGTCTAGGGCGATTTTTCGACTTGGTTTACTCACTTTTCGGCTCGGTTCTCGGTAGGGAGCTAATTTTGGAGGGCGAGTTTCATTTATGGCTATGACTGGCTACCTCATTTGTTGTACAGTTTCTTATCGAACGCATATAAAATCAAAAGCTAATTGGAATACCAAGTGTTTCAAGGATTCCGAATATGGTTGCACATTTAAGTGCTACACGCAGATACAAATATGTTGCTGTGGATATCGTGTTTCATCAAGTTACACAGTAGTCTTTTCTGCGTTTTAAAACTGTACACAACTAACTTACTGTACAAACTTCAACAGTGCTTTGTTGAAAACAAATGCAATCATCACGGATATGCTTCGTAGTTCGACTGTACAATATCTGTCAGCTTTGAATGCTGCAACAAGGCAAACTTTGCAAATGAAAAGCAGGGAAAAGGAATAGTGGCACTAGCTCGCAGGGTAATCAAGACCAGAAAACATAAGGGCAACCGGAAAGTTGAACATTGATAAGGAGAAGCGAGCTTAGCGTGGACTTACCACAGGGGAAGATTGATTCGATGGTCATGACAGGAAAAGAGTTATAGTAGCAATATGGCCATTTTTCATCACCTGTCAGTTTAGTTTCCAAATAAAAGTTCTTCATAATTCTAAAAAATAAATCCATCAGGCTGGAAAGTGAAACAGCTAATGGAATCATCATCAATAGCTCACCTCTAAGGCGATGTTCTGGTACCCATATACAAAAGTGGATCCAAAAGGGTTGCTTGTAGAACCTTGGGTTTGGATAGCTGCACGACCGCAGTCTCCTAGGATCTCCTGCAGTTTGAAATCATGCTTTCATCAAGCTTAAGTTGTGGACGGTCTTGTATGAGAAGAAGAAGAATAATAAGAAAAGATCGTACCTTCACTTGCTCCCATTTAGTGCTAGGGTTGATACTCTGCTTCGAGTTATTTGCTTCAGAGGAGAAAGTAAAGAAGAAGCTAGTTTCAGTACTTTATATAACCACCACCAAACCAAAATCTTCTTCTACAAATTGGTAAGGGTTTCAAAACCTTGGATAACAAAATTGCACTTTATGTATGAATTGAAGTCCGCATGACCAGGATAGTTGCTATGAAGAACAAACTTCTTGATTTTATGAGTCTGGAAAAACAGAACAAATCATCATGCATCTGAAGCACAAAGTCTATACAAATGGAAAATGTAATGGAAGGAAAAGAAAACAAAAAAAAATACCTGGCCATCAAATAAGATGTCCAAACCGCGAGTAAAATAATTATAGAAGTAATCGGCACAAAGGGTTGTTCTTGGACGTGGGTCAGAAGCAGAGTGAATGACCATCTGATCCACCTGTACTGATAAAAACTTAGTCTGCAGAAGCTACCATTTTTTGCATGCTAATCCCATAATTCTAAATTGATATTACAACATTTACATGACAAACAGAAGCATCATAATGTACCTGCTTTTGATGGATGCCACAAGGACGCCCTAATTCCGTCCATACATCCTGTACATCAAAGGGAACTATGAGTAACACGCAAAACCGAACATATAGCAGCTATAGCCTATAGCTACCAATTAAATTCAAGCAGATAACTCAGCTACCTTCTTACAAACGGTAAAAAACAAGCAACAAAAGTAGTCTTCGAACAAGGGGGGGAAATCTGTAGTGATCCAATTTATTGTTTACCTGTGGTGACGCACCAAACGGAATATGCTGCCCCCCTATTGAAAAGAATAACTCTTCGCCAAGCTGCAGCAATCAATTAACCATTCAAGCGGAAGGCTTACAAGTCACTAAGAATAATAGATGTAGCATTTCCTTGTTAAGGCACAGCTAAATGAGGACAAACCTTCACTTGCACCTCCTCCATGTACAGACTGCCAGCAGGTAAAGGAGGAGCAACAGCCTTGTCCAAAAGGGAGCCAACGCCGACTTTTTTATCACTAGAGCCATCATATATACAAACCCGGCAGGTGACTGGTGTGGTTCCATCCGGAAACTCCAGAGGCAGTTCAGCTGCCAATGGAAGGGAAAACAAGGAAATGGAAAATGAACGCTTGCATAAACATTAACTTTGCTCATAAACACAGCATTAATGCAATACCTTCTCTATCCTGACAGCAGTCTGCATACTGCCCAGGGATTGGAAATGCGAAAGACAGGCCCTTCAAAGAAGAAAAATCATGTAGGTGTATAATTCAAAGTTAACAATGGAACACAAGGAATCAGTTAATATTATTAACAAAGTTCATCTACGTACAGGGTAAAACAGGGTATAAACTCCCCTATCCTTGTCATAGATACCAGGAAATGTTGGGCCAAAGAGAGCATAAACAGCAACAAAAGTTGCCAAGGTGGACGGCCCCCTATATGTGAAGAGCATATAATCAACCATAAAATAGAAGTCAATAAAAGCGGGATTCAGAAGCAAGCAAGAATGGTATTCGATGTTTAGGCGTAAAATACCCAATAATAGACGTGGCATATCGCATTTGGAGCCTCTTGACATCAAAGATTTCAACCAATCTTAGCCTCTGGAGTAAATTCAAAGTAAAGGAGTGAATACACTGCATTGGAAAGCAAACTTCATAGGATGGGTTGACCAGAATCAATTACCTGGGACCAAGGATCAAATCGAAGATGAAAACCATGGTCCGGGAAGCTAATAACTATGTCTAGCTTCAAAGGTTCCTGCATCAAAACACCGGCAATATCCCAATAAGGTGGGTGGTAAATGAAGAACGCTCAATATCATTACCCAAAAGAAGAGTCCCACACAACTTCAAAACTGAACCAATCGAGAGAAAAAAATGTGTAGTGGCAACAAACTGTTACCCAGAATGTTCAGGTAAACAAAACTAGCGAAACAATTAGATTCCAGTTTTCCAATCCAAACCTCGTCAAAGTACTTCACATGGACAACATCATAAATGTTGGGTTGCTGCTCAATCTGGGCAAATGCTTCGCATATCGGCATCCCTATATCACAAGCAAGCAAAATTAACCGACACGTGAAGGGAAATTGATCGAAACAGAATCAAGGATCAGGTGCCACATGGAAAGGGGGAACGAACAGGAAAAAAAAAAGGGAATACTGCAGAATTTCAGCAAAAGAAAATTAAAGATTAGAAATAAGGAGAGCCATCGATATGGTAGCGCAAACAGCAGGAGAAAAGAAAATCAAGTGAAAGTTGAATTGAGGAAGAAGAACAAATAAAAATAGGGAAGAAATTGAAGGGGTTATGATGGTTCGCTCGCCAATCGCAATTACCTAAAGAAAAGGGGCCGATGCCGAGGCCAGGGCGGAGATCGAGGACGATGGCGCCCATAGCGGTGCCTTCGCAGCGTCTCCGTGGTCGCTGGTGTTGTTGCATCATTTGGTGTTTCGGTATATCCGAAAGGCAGCGATCTTTAGTTGCCTGTTTTCTTTCGCAGCGGTGGTTTCTTCTGGGTTTCTGGAACAAACAAGTCTTCCCCTTTACTTACGCGACTGGAACTCCAGCGCATTCTTCCTTCCCCGGACTAGAAGAGTGCCCACGTATACCGGTTAAAATCCAAAAGGGTTACTAATTATACTAAATCTAGCAAAATGGTCACTGAAAACGTTAAAATGTAACAATGTAATCTCTAAATTAACATATATGTGTTGATGTCGAGGTTGTCGCCGACGCCAGATTTCTTGCTACGGACACTGAGAGAGGCCTAAAATCACTTTACATCGCGATCTTTGCTCGTCATATTGACTCCCACCACCTCCTGTAAATGGTCCACTTATTGATCTCGGTAGGGACACACTCTGACGCTCAAAGTGGTGAGTTGAGGGAAGAATGACACAAAAAAAATTAAGTGTAGGAGAGGGTGGTCTAGGCGAGAGTGTAGGCCGACGCGTAGCCAGAAGATGTGTCGTTGCCTCAAGCAAACGTCCACCACGGGTCGTGTGCCCTTGTGCCATGTTTAGGTGCTCACGCCACGTGGTAGGACACGCTTAAATGAGGGTGCAACATAAGGGAGTAGGTAGGAGCGAAGGCAGCTAGCCCAAACACCGCGGGTGGTGAGCGCCTTGGACCCGAGAGCAAAGTGGATTCGAGGGAGTGGGCGATGCAGGCGGTGAGTACCGAAGGAGGTGGGCTTCGTGGGTGGCGAGCGTCATTGGCTCGGGAGCAAAGTGGGTCGAAATCCATGGGCTGTGGGCGGTGATCGTCTTAGGTAGTCTGCATCGGGGGCCCAGGGTCGTGGGCGGTGAGCGTCGTGGGCCGGGAGTGAAGTGGCAATAGGGTCGTGGGCGGCGAGCATCATGGGCCCAAGGGCCGCTGGTGGTGAGCGTCGTGGGCAAGGAGTGAAGTGGGTGAGGGTCGTGAACGCTGTGAGTCGTGATGTAGTGAAAATATTTTTAGGTAGGGTCCATCAAACTATGTCCCCTTAATAAAAAGTTTATTGGACTTGAAGAGTTACACTTGCACTGATGTGCATTTATTGATCAATTAATTGTTAATATCAAGGTTCAAGAAGACGTTAGGCGATAGGAAAGCGTTGGCACTCAGTCTAACGCCTAGCTCGCAAAAGCGATGCCTACACGACACCTAGGCATTTTAGCGAAATAGCAGGTTTTAGTAGAAATAACAATATTAGGGCGAAAGGGATGGTGCGAAAATGAGAATTTGTTACAATTCATGAGTTCTGAGTTTTTCTCTCGTTGAGCTAGAATTGCAATTCCAAATCGAGGAAGGAGTGAAGGATGTGTCGAATATGAGGTAGTTGAAGATGGCGTCATTTTGAGAAGATTAGCTACAATATTTTTTAATCCTTAGTTTGCTAGTGCAATTAAACACCTCTGCCTAGGACCTTGGGAAGACATTTTATCACTATCTAATGTCCAGGCGACATATGCGAAATTGCGCCTTTTTGAATCCTGGTTAATATTGGGGATTGGTAGGATTCAAACATATGCCATTTCTACCAAAAGCTCAATTTTCATGTCAAGGACCAATTAATCTCAAATACATGAGTCGCTGAGAGAGAAAAATTGGATTTTTTATTATTCATTTACTATCTTACACACATGAGAGGAACATTTGAAAGCTCCAAGTACATGAAATGTGGTAATTTCTAATTGACCTTCATTGTTTTGTGGGAAGAAAATTGAGGATTCTGACTCCCTAAATCCTTTGAATGGAAATTAAATGGTTTGAATCAAGGTTAAAGAAAGCGTTGGGCGTAAGGCGGGTGTTGGGATCTTGTCTGACTCGCCTAGGCATTGCCGAAGCGTGATTATGCATTGGAAGCAAAAATAGACGTGTTAAATGATGGGTGAAGTAGTTGTTTTACATCACTTTAACTTTACTTCAAATGATTAATAACTTCTTTAACACTTAACAATAAGAAAAATAGTTCAAAAGTTTATAGAATCATATGTCAATGGTTCACAATGTTCTTGAACTACTGAATAGACTGAGATGGTAGATGATGTTAATTTCACCTTTTTATATTGATTGTCTAGGTTTCACAACAAAAAAGGCTATAACGACCAGGAAAATGGCGAGAGGATGAAAACCGCTCATTGAATGCACCTTTTTAATTTGCACAAACTCATTCATGAGGGTCATTTATTTCCTCTCATTATAACATTAGTTTACCCTCGTTATTGCCAAAAGACCTTTAGCGATGACTAGAATCTCCTCATTGATATGCCCATAAAATTTTTTGAAATCCCACCTAACATATTTCTATTTTGCATATCTGATTCACGTTCTGTATCTAAGAAAAAGAACCCAAATCTCTTATCTCTTTACCCTAAGAAACAGCCTCACCACCCACACACAATAGCAGCGACGTTTCCATAGATCGCCGACGACCCACTTTCTCATTCACCGCCAACTTGAATCACCAATACCCGCAATCAATTTCGATAGCAATAACCGTTACGATGGAGAAGAAGAGGACGTTCAGTGCTTGTTCTCCACCACCAGATTCATCGGGTTCTAAAGATTGAGGGGCGACCAGATTTGAGAGTTCTAGCTTCTTCCTCTCGCGATTGAAAGTTGGCTCTGTCATTTATTGTCATTCAATGTCGATTCAAGGCCCGACCAACCCGATTTCGATTTCACCTCTCCATCCAACCTGAACCAAACTCTGATGCTTCCTCCTGTCTCTCAGATATCCCAATCGATCACTGCTATCTTCATCCATCTTGTCGCAGGAAGTCATCCTAGCTCGGAGCTTCTCTCAAGGTCTCATCTTTCTGCCACATGTCATCTGCAGTGATTTTGGGGTGAAAGAGCCGCCAACTCTGTCATTGAACTTTGACTTCATCAAGGATGGTCGTCGAGTGTTTGCAAAGGGCAAACAGTCAAGTAACTTCCCATTTCTACGATCTTTCAATAGAGGGTTTTTATTGGATTTGTGTCAAGTGTCTGATAAGTGTTCGGTGAACTGTGAGGAAGACGGGAATTGGTCTTTTCTGTGAAATTTTTATCCCGAGATGCAGTTTGATTTCTTGATGGTTCAAATATTTGCTATTACGTAGTTTGTGTTGATTTTTCTAATTTGTGTATGAACATTTGAAGTACATAGGGGAATAAGATGGGTTGGCGCTTTGTTAATTGTGCTGGAGGTTTGGCTTGTACTAGCAGAGCAATTACATAAATCTAAGTCAGACTACTTGACCCATAGGGATACCTTTTTGCTCAATGCTAGAATCGATAATTGAAGCATTTAAGGTTGCATTAATCAGGGATACACGAGAGAAGGAATTGGTTTCGATTTGCTTAACTTGCTAATGCATGAAGATTAGAAGCTCTTGCAAGTAATCCTTCTATCAAATTAGTTGTTGCAGATTAAATGATTTTTTGGACGATTGAGCAGTGAATTTCATAAATATTTTTCTGCGTTGAATGAGTCTAAGTGTCTTTCCACTATCTAAGTTGTTGAGTTCTGCTATCGGTTTGTAGAAGTAATAATGAAGCTTTGCTGGAAATTGGTTATATTTGTGCAAATGTGTATTTGCATGCTAGTTGTAGTTGTATATGTGTATGTGTATGTGCATAAGGATATTATTTGATTCTGGCATGGTGGTGAGTTGAAAGGTGTTCTGTTTTGCAGGCTACTGGCTTCTTTATGTTTGCCGGGGCTGGATAGGTATTGGCGTTAGCTCTTTGCATCTATTGTTGGTTGTATGTTGTCTGCAGAGTCTTGTGTAGGTCGTGTGTATGGCGATGAGCTTTAGTATGCTACTTTGAGTGTATGTGTTGTAGCTTTGGTAGGTCTTGTTCAATTTTCCTTGTGTTTTTAATCTTATGTTTTGCTCTCCCTAGTTGGGCTGGAACCTCCTGTGAAGTATATTATTGTGCTTTCTTGGTCATTTGTAAGACTTTCTTTTTTCTAATGCGATTTGCACGAACATGCTTCATAATTTTAGCATGTGGAGCTCGTGTATTGTGAAGACATAATATTAATTAATGTGGTTCGTATACGTTTTCACTAATAGCAAGTTCAAATTTTGTACATGTATTAGTAATGATGTTATAGTAACAAAAAAGTTGTCACTAAAGCTTAGTTATCAAAACAACAACCAATTTTTCCTCTCTTGCCAAAATGTTTCAACAATGGGTTGAATCCATTGCTATTGCATCTCTTAACCCCTCCTTGGAACTTTTAACGAGGGTAAATCTTTTCATAGTTATATATTTTTTTATCTGGGGGTAAGAAACCTCTTGGTAAAGCTTTTAACAAGGAGGGGACAAATTCCCATGGTTATTGACTTTTAACGGCAAAGCCTACTATGAGGGACATAGTCTCGTCGTTAATTACCATTTACGACGGGTTTCATGCTTTTAACGATCATTTTCTCCCCTCGTTGATACCTCTTATTTGTAGTGTTTGCCTAATTATACCTTGGCGCCACCTGGGTGTGGTCGAACTGCTGATGCGGTAGCGCTTTGAGTTATACATTTGTGTTTGAGCCTAGAATATTTAAGGCGGTTGATGAAGCACGAGCGAGGCGTCTGTTCCTGATGAAGGGAAGAGCATTCATGGATCCTACAAGCAAAGACTCGTGAGCGGTTGACCATGGCACTCTTCGATGCTTAAGTTAGGAGAGAAATGATAATATGTGATTTGTTTAGTGAGAGAGGGAGTAGTTGAGTTCCCATCAATGCTCATGTGGGGAGTATTTATACTCAATTAGGTTGGGTAATAAGCATTAAATGTTATGCCAGACGCCCTAAGCATTTCTTGTCTACTAAGCGACCGCCTACGGCGAATAATTAATGCTCTATCTTACTTATATCGAGGTAGTCATTACCTCAGATCTTGTGGCTCCTTTCTCCCATTAGTGCTTCATGTCAGGCAGTCTACTCCCATCACTTCATAGGTCAGACCGCCTATGGATTCAAATGAGAGTTGCTTTCAGACGTGTTAGGCGAGCCATAAAAGGACCTCCTTACCCATTTGCATTGCGCATGACATCCCTAGGCTTCTCTTTGGGCCTTGAGGCCCAGTAATGCTCAACATGTGGCCTAACAATTTGGTAAACTCGATCGATGAAGTAGTATAGTGGTGATCAAGGTTGTATTCCAAGGGTCATGGTATTCCAAGGTGGCCAGCTGCCGATTACTGAACTAGAGGTCGTTAAAGGAGAAGAGGTACTCGGGGTGCCTCCCTTGCCCTAAACTTAGGTTCCTCATGATGTTCGGGCGTTCGGAGCACAAAGTCATGACCGTCCAAAGTTTGGCGAAATCGGAAAAAGCTCATTTGGTGTAGCAAACAATATTTTTTCGGGACGAAGGCAAGGGCAGTTTGCGGATTGCAAGATCTCGAAAAGTTGTGCGGAATAAAAAAAATTCATTACGATCGGATACCCGAGCACAAAGATACGTTCGTTTGAAATTTTCACCTATTTAGAGTTGTTCGAATTTTTTTTCTGGACAAACCGTCGGGAGGGGCACCGGTTTTGGACCAAACCGCTCCGACCCCATGTGGTCACCAAAACCACGGGCTAAGATCAGGTGACTAAGAGTCTTAGTCACATGACTAAGTTAATCTCAGCCTTTTCACCTCATTAAAATCCAACGGCTCAGATTAATCCAATTTAATAAAGGACAATGTAGTAATTACACAAGTTATTTATTTAATTATAAAAATAAAAATATGCATAGTCCATTAGCGGAGCTGTCCCGCTCCGCTCGGCAGATTAATTCTTCCCAACGAAGAGCCGACCGATTTTCGGGAATTCTCCCCGACGGTGGCTTTTGATGGTGGGCAGATTATTAGGGCACCATTTCTTGTTGTATGAGAGAGAGAGAGAGAGAGAGAGCGAGTGAGAGAGAGAGAGAGAGAGAGAGAGAGAGAGAGAGTTATCCGATAGATGTTTTTCCGACAACGTTTTCCGGCATCGGAGGAGACTTTCCTGCGACCAGAGACGACAAATGAGAATTTTCCGACGCTAGTGCTGGATTTGTGATGTTTGTCAACCTACTTTGTAATGTTTATATCATTTTCGGTTTGTATTGTTTGTCATTTTTATATATTATGTTTGTAATGTTTATAATTTATATGACTATTTTGTATATATTGTAATTTGTAATGGTTGTTTGGGGACATGTTACGGTGATTACTACAAAAGTAGTAATCACCGTGGTTACTAAGGGTAAATTGGGTATGAAAAATAAATTGTATTTAATTTTTCATAATAAAAGTTTAACAATAATTTTCTCATACAAATTATTCATACAAAAAACACTAATCTAGAGCATACAAGCAAACCGCAAATAATCAATACAAATTGTTCAAAATTAAAGATAAACATCTATAAACTACACGATTAATTGAAAGTTTCTTCATCGTCAACTAATTTTCTTCACTCTCCACTCCATAATATCAACTTCATTCTAAACAATTAGATAGAACAAATTATACATGTCTCCACAAACATAAAGAATATTAGTTGTTTAATGAAGATATATTATTTAGAATATTAAATATACCGGAAAAGTAATTAAATGTGTGTGGGCGGGTACCCATGGGGCGGGTTTACGTAAACCCAAACCCAACCCAACCCAGTGAATAGTGTAGCGGGTTTAAACCCGAACCCGGTCCAAAACCCGTCAACACGGATTTTACCCGCGTTGACTAGGTTGGGTCGGGTGGGTACCCGTGGGTTCGGGTTTTGTTGCCATTCCTAAGAGGGATGGGTGGCCATCGACAGGTGAGAGGGGGAGGGAGATTTTTTTTTTGGGTTGTTGACGGCTATAAGGATTGTAGTAGGGTTTGTATATAATATATAAAAATTTATTTTTTAAGAAAAATTAATCAGGTGTGATATTTTTTTGTTTCCAAAGTTATCCTTCATCTAATCTTTATCGTCAATATAAAAATAGGGTGAAATAATGATAATGAATGGTATAGATTATGGTAGCCACCGTGATTACTCAAAATTGAGTAACCACACTAACTCATTTCCTGGTTGTTTGTCTATTTTGTATAGTTTTATATAATTTGTATACTTTGTATTAATTGGTTTGTAATAAAAGCTTTATCGATTTATGAATGATATAGATTATGGTAGCCACCGTGATTACTCAAAATTGAGTAACCACACTAACTCATTTCCTGGTTGTTTGTCTATTTTGTATAGTTTTATGCTATAATTTGTATACTTTGTATTAATTGATTTGTAATAAAAGTTTTATCGATTTATATTTTAAATAGCGGTATTCTGTACGATTAGTATGGTTTGTACTGTTTGTCGGTTTATTTTGTAATGTTTGTAAGCTTTGTTATTTTGTAAGGTTTGTCGATTTCTTTTGTAATGTTTGTAAACTTTGTTATTTTTGTCCACTATGTTTGTAATGTTTGTTGGTCTAGTTTGTATTGTTTGTATAGTTATATGTTTTGTATTGTTTGTAAATCTGTTTGTATGTTTTGTCGTTCTAGTTTGTATTGTTCGTATGTTCGTATGATTTGTACTGTTTGTAGGGTCCGTTTGTATACTTCGTAATTTTTCATAATACCCAAACTACCGTCATTAATTAAAAAGCCCTTCCCACTTTTTAACCGTCAAATTAGTATGTCCAGATCTAAGGGCTAGGGGGTGCTTAGTCAAGTGACTAAACACCCCCTAGTCACCAGATCCTCCCTCACAAAACCGCCCCCACCCATGCGGTTTACAGCAAAAACCGCGCCTTTGGGTGGCGGTTTTTGGGAAATTGTGGTATTTTTGGAAAATTTTGGAAATGATTGGTATTTTTGAATTTTTTTTTCTTTTAGTGATATTTCTGAAAAAAATCCATAAATTTACCCCAAAAATATCAGTAAATTTCTGCAAAACCCGACCCGATCCGATCCGATCCGATCCGATGCATTGCTTTGCTATCCCTACTCCCTGCGTTTATGGTGGTGTCTCTTGGATTTGGTCTCTCTCGTCTCGCTGTTGTCTCTCCTCAATCTTCATTGATTGCTACTTTTTCTCTTTCTGTCTCTCCTGAACTTTAAACATCGCCATTAAAATAGCGAGGATAGAGAAAGAAACAAAGAAGGACAGCAACAGCATACAGGGGAGAGAGAGAGAGAGCGGGGGAAGAGAAGAGAAGGAATGGAAGTGGCTATGGCTCTGTCACATCCCTGACTAATTAGTTCATTTCCACGTGCCCCACTACCTTCGCCGAAGATCATCCCCTTCCCCCTCCTCCACCAGCGACCACCGTCCACGATTCTGACTTAGGGTTTCCCGCATCAGCCGCGTAAATTATCTCCTTTCCTTCTCCACCCACCCCGCCGACCACCTAGCTAATTTTGGCAGCTTTAGGTCTCTTTGATTGGCGGCAGTCAAACTTATCGAGATGGAGAAGCAGCAGCAGCAGCAACAGCAGCAGCAGCAGGTGCGCAGGACGTGGATAGGGGAAGGAGAGCAGAGCCAGCGCCGCGGTGTCTTCGACAGTTTGTTGCGCGGGGTTGGAGCTGAGCACATGACCATCGATCAATGCGAGGCGATTCGGGAAATGGACGACTCACAGCTCGTCGGAGTCCCTGTCATCGTTGCTAAAGCCGACGTGCCTAGGGTACACGTTGAAGTCAGGAATGTGGCAGCTGTTCCTGAGATCAGTGCGGTGAAAAGGAGGCGTGGTCGCCCTCCGCGGAATCAGGGCAAACCCGTGCCGTCCCCTCCTCCCAAGGCCATGGAGGAAGAGGATGTTTGTTTCATATGCTTCGATGGCGGCAGCTTAGTACTTTGCGATCGCAGGTCAGTCTCTTTTGCTTCTGAATTTCTGCTCCGCGGCTTCGAAGATCACGAATCTAGTTCATCTATATTAAATGCTAAGTGAATGCCTCTATGCAAAATTTTCCAAGCTGAGACTCTCCGGTAGGTTTAGGGTTTTTCTAAAGCATCAGTTAGCTTATCATTTAACTCTTCCTTTTTCTTCTTCTTCCTGTTGTTGCCTTGTCATGCTTAGGGGCTGCCCTAAAGCGTACCATCCAGCTTGTATCAAGAGGGACGAAGCATTTTTCCAATCGAAGTCCAAGTGGAACTGCGGTATAATATGCTTCCATTCACTACAATTTCTAACTTGAGCTGTTTTTACTACTATGTACCGGAGTGGTTAATCAGCTTTGCCCTAGATTCTCTGCCCATACGTATGCGTGGCAACGCGCTAGTTCCTGACTTGAACTTAGTTTGACTGTTCATTAATCTGAATTGATTATGTGGATTATCTTTAACTACTTATGAATGACTATCATTAACTGCTTATGGTGCACATGTCATTCAATGTCTTTTATCCTCATGGTCTCAATACATTTTTGTTGCTTCCCTGTACTCATGACTGGATCCTTAGAAGGCTGATAATTCTAGCAGGCTATCTTGCTCCTATCTCAATGATTATATTCTTTCCATTTTTACTCGCCGTTATTTCTTTGTGTTTAATAAGTCTTCATTCCACTTTTGCCCAACTATGGTATGTTTCAGGGTGGCATATTTGTAGCAGTTGTGAGAAGGCTTCTCATTATATGTGCTACACTTGTACATACTCTCTCTGCAAAGGGTGCACCAAAGGTGCCGATTACTTATGCGTGCGTGGAAATAAAGGATTTTGTGGAACGTGTAAGAAAACTATAATGCTGATTGAAAATGTACCGACGGAGAACAGTGAGCAGGTATGTCAACTGCTGCCTCTTAACTCGACCTTTGAACAGCCTTCTTGCATCAATGCTTTGGAAAGAGGTAGAAGTTATCCATTGTTGTGACCAGGGATTAATGTTTAAGAACTTTTTTGCACTATGGTTGTCCCTCATTTTCAAGGGTAGATCATTAAATAAAGTGACGATCCTCACTTTGCCAGTTAGTACCTGGTAGCAATATACACATAAGTCCTCCATTTCCTTCCCCTTTGGCTGTAATGATCCTTTCAAGATTAGTTTTTTACTGTTCTATGCTATTCTGCAGGTTCAAGTGGATTTTGATGACAAATTGAGCTGGGAGTATCTTTTTAAGTTGTATTGGGTCTGCCTTAAAGATAACTTATTGCTTACTGTAGATGAAATACTAAAGGCTAAAAATCCTTGGCAAGTTGACGAGCTACCTAGGACTAAAAGTACCTGGAAAGTTCCCGCTGCTGTTACGGATCCCATGGCAGAATCTTCTAGTGAAATTTATTATGGTCGTAATGAAAATGCCTCTTCTTCTGGCAATAGCTATGGAAGCCTGGAGACAAACTACTCCAAGAGAAGAAAAATTGACGACGAGCCTGATATTATGAATGGGGAAAAGTCTGTCGGCATAATGGAAAATTTGAGCGTTGAGAAAGTTGCACCTTTGTCTGTCGGCACAACAGAATGGGCAACCAAGGAGCTTTTGGAGTTTGTTGCACATGTGAAGAATGGAGATACAACTTTCTTATCTCAAATTGATGTGGAGGCTCTTTTGTTAGACTACATCAAAAGCAACAATCTGCGTGATCCTCGCAGGAAATGCCAGATACTCTGTGATACAAGGCTTATAAACCTCTTTGGCAAAACACGTGTTGATCATATTGAAATGCTGAAGCTTCTTGAATGCCACTTTCTTGTGAAAGAAAACCCCCAGCGTGTTGAATCTCAAGTCACGGTGGAATTAGCTGCTGCTGTGGGCAAGGCTAGCTGTGCCAAAGTCTCTGATGTCCCGGTGGTTAGCAATGATAGAAGGCGTAAGACACGCAAAAGGATGGATGAGAATGAAACCCACACCAACCCCAATGCAGATGAATTCGCAGCAATTGATGTTCATAATATTAATCTATTATACTTGAAGCGTAGTTTGATGGAAAATCTTATGAATGATGCTGATAAGTTCCATCAGAAAGTGGTTGGGTCATTTGTCCGTATTCGGGTTCCTTTTGGCGACCAGCAGCAAGATATGCATCGACTTGTTCAAGTCGTAGGTATGATTTGAAATTACCTGTTTTCCGAACTAGCTTTAGTAATACTATGATTTGAAGGATATGTTTTTTTGGCGGAAAAGATTTGGAGAGATCAATGGTTCTCACTTTCAGGTACTGGGAAGGCAGCTCAGTCATATAAGCTTGGCTCAAGGACGACTGATATCTTGCTTGAAATATCAAATTTAGACAAGAAGGAAGTTGTGTCGATTGATGGGATATCAGACCAAGACTTCTCAGAGGTGATTTGAGATGCCAATGAATCCAGCTTATTAAGTTGTATTTCCTTAAGTTATTTCGTGATGCTTGGCTCTTGAGTTTGCGACTTCCAGCCTTAGGGTCCAGTAATGTTGTTTTCATGTTCATTATTTGTACATTATCTTTGTTTTCACTTTCTTAAAGGCTCCAATGTGTTGGCATGCGATTACTTTCTGCTACTGACCTAATTGATTCTTTATTGGGGAGAGTGCTTGTTCGGATCCTATTGTCAATAGTTCCATTATAACTGAGCTCTATTAGTTTTGCATGAATTTCAAGCCCTTTAAACCAAGAATTTCTATATAAAATTCTGCTATGATGCTATCTTCATGTTGGGAAAATGCATGTTATCTTGATGACTCTGACAGTCTGACCTGTACACGTATTTGCTGGTTACGTTTTTAGATCATGCTAGTATTTAAATAGATGTGGTTTCCCCTAGTGAGATGGATTCCGTCATTAAAATCTTAAAGTCTTTACCTCTAGTTCGATTTTCCCTTCTAATAACCACTCCTGGTTTCTGTAGTTAACGTTTATTTATATTGTTGAGTAATTGATTCAAGATGTAAGATGCTTGCCATTTTGGGTTACTATTTGGACTGAAGTATAAACATTATGTGATTGTGAATTGTAAATGATATTTAGATCCCTGAATAGTTCCTTTTCTTCTGAATTTGACATGCCATGTCTCGTTATGTTTTCAGGAAGAATGCAGACGACTAAGGCTCAGTGTAGAATCTGGCCTCATAAAGTTTATGAAGGTGGTAAGTGCAGTGTCTTGTGTGTGTTTATTTATGCATTCACTTAAAAAGCAATCTGCGCCATTCTCCATCTTACATTTCTACACTTGGTTGTAGGGTGAGGCCCAGGAGAAAGCAACGGTACTTCATTCCGTCAAAGTTAGTGATGTATGTCGGCATAATCATCCTCATTACTTAATTTGTTTTATTTTCAATCTAGTGGAACAGTTTTACATGCTTCTTTTACTTGTCAATCTCTTCTGCAGTCGCTGGCAGCAGAAATATCGCGGCTTAATCATCTTCGGGATCAAGCTAGTGAAAAAAGACAGCGGAAGAAATATCCTAAACACAGTTTTATTGCATAGCACTACTTTTCGATTCAACTCATTGCATGTATGGCTTTTGTCATTTTAGTTGCTACGTATGGTTCCTTTGGTTTCGTCACCTCTGACTTTCCTCATACACTAATAACTGAAAAAATGAGTTTCAGTGATTTTGGTTGCTATGATAGAAAAAGGAAAAAAATTTAGATCCGGAAAGTGTGTTTGTTTTAGTTTTTATTTTCTCTTACTATCTTTTTTTTACCAAAATGAGCACTCCGATATTTAAGTGCAGCATTTAAGCTTTCCTTGACTAGGTCCACTCTCAGGGAATTTGTGGAGAAATTGGACATTCTGCAGTCAGTTGAGGAACGCCAGCGTAGGTTGCTTGAGGCTCCTATCGTGCATTCGGATCCAAATATAGTTTCCCACAAGTCTATCGAAGAGTTGAGTAAATATCCCACCTCAGCAAACCAGATGGGTTTCATATCTTCTAGACATGAACAAAATAGTCAACCAGTGGCAGCTCCTCAACCAACATCTGCAGTTTTCCCGCCAGGGATACCACTCCCTCGTCTAATTAGCGAGGATGAGCTAGAGAGACTTTGGCATTATCGTGATCCATTTGGAACAGTTCAAGGACCTTTCCCTATGATGCAACTTCAGAAATGGAGCACAAGTGGGCTTTTCCCCCTAGATCTAAGAGTTTGGAGGGTGACTGAGAATGAGCAAGACTCTGTTCTTTTAACTGATGCTTTACTTAGGCTGGTGCTCCAAAAAGAGCCACCCAAGCCTGCCAACAACAATTGTATTATACTGCCTCAGGAAGTAACAAGAGCTGATTGTGATGATGATACAGATAAGAAGTTGAGCAGTGGATCAAGTCAGAATACTGGGGCAACTCAGATGGAGGATAAGAAAGATGAAGTTGATGAAAGTGGCAAGTCTGAGAAAAATGATTCAATTGGCAAGTCTGAGAAAAATGATTCAAGAGGCCGAAGCAGTAATGATGGTGATGATGAAGTTGCAAGGAGTAAGGAGTTGCCTTCTAATTCATCCAGGTTGACCATGTTAGTGGATCTTGTCATTGGCAATAATGCACTAACTCAAGGCGCCGAGAAGTCCTCAGAGTCGACCAAGAATGATGAGAAGTCTTGGGTCGATCAGCAGTCTGAGATATGTGGTTCGGTTGCTTTACCTTCTTCCTCTGCTGAAATTCATATTAATGTCTCGCCCCCCCACGCGAGACAAGTTGATGATTTGACCAAGAATGATGCAAAGTCTTGGGTTGATGAGCAGTCTGAGATTTGTGGTTCAGTTGCTTTACCTTCTTCTGCTAGAGTTTATAATGATGCTCCAGCCCCCCATGTGGGACAAGATGAAGAGGAAAACAGAAGTTCCAGCGTGAATGATGTGAATGAAAGTAGCCAAGATCCTAAGACTACCAAGGAAGAACAACAAGCCATTGTCGAAGAAATTGATAATAAGAGAGGCACCAACAACAGCGAAGGTGGTTGTTCTCGCCAATCTTCTTGTCAAAGTTGGCAGCAGCCTCAGCACATCTCGATTGGATGGGATCTCAACTCTACTTTTCCTGCTATCTCTAATACAATGGGAACAGTAAAGCCTGAACACGAAATCATTTTCTCCGATCTTCAAAGTCCGTTGCCAAAGCAGCAGCAAGGCGATAATGGGGACTTGAAAGGTGGTCAGAGTGGCGGTGAAGAAAGAAAACACCCTGCCACTGTCTCTTGTGATGTGCCTATCATTGATGCAGGTCCTAGCTGGAGCACTACTTCGAGTTTAGTTGGTGGGACACGGCTTCCTAGTGTGGCTGCTGAATGGACGATGGGCTATTCTTCCTCTGCTATGGCCAAACCTTCTGTCGAGGACTGGGGCTCCAATCTTGTGCCTGAACCCAATGAATTCTCCTTAGTCGATGAATCTGTTTCAGACCTTTTAGCTGAAGTAGAGGCCATGGAGTCTCTCGGTGGATTGCCATCCCCTACTTCAAAACTAAGTTGTGTGGATTTGATGCCAGTCTCCGATAATGATTGCTTTAGTCCTGTGGAAGATTTTACCCCGGCTGCAGCTCCGGATCCTGGAAGTAGTGGTGCACTGAGCTCCTCTGCTGGGGGCAATATAATGCAAATGCCGTCTCGGTTATCCTTATTAGTGGAGGAACAACAACTTGGGTTATCGATTATGTCTTCTCCTCAGCCAATAGTACATCATCAGCATTGTCATGAAGAGGAATCACATAGTAGGATGACAACTCATCAAAAGACTCCTCCTCAGTTGACAACAGCAACTGACCACAAACCACCAGTTCACGACGTATCTCTCATGCTTTCGCTTCCCCCGGTAACAAGTGAGTTGCCCCCACTTGGTGTGTCCTCTCCTCCCCTGAGACAACCCGACCATTCATCGGCATTGGGCCCAATAATTGGCTTGTCACAGACCGATGCGCAGAAAAGGCCATCCAGTGGTCATTTGAGCAGCAGCAGCAAGGTGGAGAGACGGAGGGAAGGAAGTCCAGAAACCAACCAGGTTCAGCAGTTGAGCTCTAAACAGACGAAGCCGGTCTTAGACATCAAGCTCCCGCCTGCCTCAACCACGAGTTGTCAAGTGGAAGCCAGGTCAGAGACCATCCATTGTCCTGCACCTGCTGGAGTAGACTTGAGATTGGGGAACTCCAGGGGGCGATCGATTCTGGGACTGGCGCCAGGTGTTGCTTCTCATGGTTATAATCCAAGCAGTCATTCTAACAGCCCAGTTCAGAAACATGGTGGGGTCACATCACCAACATCCGCAGGGCATTCTACAGCTTCCACAGGGAATCCTCCTCCCAGTTTGTTGGGAAGTCAGCCGAAGGACAGACATTCCAGTGGGTCGAGAGATCACCGAAACAGTCATCGTCACCACAGCAGTAGAGATTCAGGTGGCCATGGTGTTCGGGATAGGTCAACGTGGAACGGAGGCAACAACAGCAGGCAGAGTTCCCATGGAGGAGGGTCTTTCAGATCGCCGCCCAAAGCGGGGCGAGTACTGTGTAGATTTATTGGAAGTGGGAAATGCAAGAAGGGGGCAGCTTGTAGTTTTTGGCACCCTTGAATTCGATATTTAGACATTTTAACTTAGGTCAAGAGGGGAGGGAAGAAGAAAAATTGTGTGCATTATTTTCTGTTGTAGAATTCGTGATTTTTGTATGGGAAGGCCCTCCATCTCCACCCATGCGATTGTACTAATGTGTAACTTTGTACAAGTATTAAAGCTGCAAATGAGTTGCCTTTTATTCGACCATTCAACTGCCTAGCTTACCCCAAATTACAATTTGATGATAAAGCTTGCCTATGTGGGTTACTGTTAAGCTTGTAATTCGAGACTTTTTGTGGTATTTCTACTTTGAATTTCACGCTCTTAACTTGATAAGTGGTGCTATATTGTCTAATCTGTATACCCCAAAATGTTAGATAAGGGAAGATTTGCTCGGCATTTGGAAGTGGATGTTAGATTTGGGCTTAATTGCTTGCAAGTTTGGTCACTTGAATTACTAGTAAATTTTACGTTAGCCACTAGAATTACTTTATTCCATCCGTAGTCATTTAAATTAGGTTAACAGTTCAAGTTTGGTCACTGGCCGTTAGTCTCCGTTAACTTTTGCTTACGTGGCGGTCAACTATTATAGTTGACCGTTAAATGAGTGACGTGGCAATTAAAAAAAATTAAAAAAATTAATTCTTATTTTCTAGCTAATTATTATAAATTAAAAAAAATCCAAATTTCTTTAATTATTATTTTCCACCGTCGTGCCGCTAACTTCGCCGGCTTCGCAATTCTACTACCCACCGTCCTCCAAAACTCCGATTACTTCGCTGCCACCAACCTCCTCTCCGGCTCCAACCCTTCCCACGACTTCATCCTCACCCCCAATCCCAACCATCACCTCGTAACCGACGGATTCCACTCTGCCCCTCTCTCTTGGTCCAAAATGAGATGAAATGTGAATGATACAATAATTGTTGATCTCTCAACTGCAAGCTCAGGGATCGTTTGCTTGGGTCGTCATGTTTAGAATTGAATCATCAATGAGTTCAGGGCTTCCATAATCCTGAATGATCCCAGCAAGATGCGCACTATCAACATTATAAGGCAAATTCCCAAAGTAAAGCTTTGTATTCACGCCACTGCTGCCTTCTCCCGTTTCTTCACCACCTTCAACTCCTTTCTCTTCCTCCGCTGGAGCAGCCGCCTCCACCTCGGTCTCTGCCTCCTCCTGCGCGACGGCCACCGTATATACCTTCTTGGGCGCCCGCCACAATGCTACTGCAACAATGGGAAGAGGAAGAGGATCTCCGCCTCCGGGAGCAGCAAATATGTGTAGACGATCTGAGGTTGGAAGTCTGAGTACAGAGTCCGAGGATTGCAGGTGTAGCCTATTGTTTTGGGTGCATTTGAGGGTGTTGATGGATGGGAAGAGAGATGAACTAATGGCTCCAGCAGCAGCAGTTGCAGCAGTGGACCCACGCCTAGCTTCTCGTCGTCGGTATTACGATATGCAGAGCTGGAAGTCGAAGGTTGAAGAAGCTGTCTATGGTGGTTGCTGACTGAGCTCGTGGTGCGGCGTCGTTTTCCTCAGAAGCAACATAAGAGCTGAGTTAAGACGACATCGTCTCACCTAAGCAACTACCGTTTCCAATTATACGGTAGATAGCTAGCTGTCATTTGTTTATTGGTAGTTAGTTTAATTTTCCGTTTTAGTTACCGTTAACAGAGTTTTGGATGTACAACTTTACCTTTCTTCTTCAGTATATAAAAGGCCCTCTGAGGCACCCAAAACCCTTGCGGGTTTCACACCAACCTTATCTCTTACCAAGATTTCACATGGTATCAGAGCCTGGTTGGGCTTTCTAGGGTTTCTACACCCTCTTCATACCTGCATTCTTTGTTTACAGTAGTGTTCATCCAAAATGGCTACCGATTCCTCTTCTTCTTCTTCTTCTTCTGATTCTGCTACTACCTCTGGTGTTCTTACCAACCTGAGTACCGTCACAAACCCTTACTATGTCAACCCAAATGAGTCGTTAGTCTTTCCAATCAAACTCACAGGTACTGGAAATTACAACTTATGGAGCAGAACTGTTCGTGTTGCCCTCAAGAGCAAAAACAAGCTTGGGTTTATCAATGGGTCGATTACTGCACCAGATCCATCTTCAGAGACTTATGCCGCCTGGGAGCAAAGCAACACAGCAGTATACTTCATGATTCTGGGTTCCCTGGATTCAAGTTTGGTTGATTCTGTCTCTTCACAAGACAATGCGAGACTCTTATGGGAAGATCTGAGACAGCGTTTTGGACAGGCAGACAACATCAGAATCACAGATCTGCAAACTGCTCTCTATACTCTTAAGCAAGTTAACAAATCTGTTAACCAATTTTACTCAGAGCTGAAAGGGTTTTGGGAAGAACTTGTGCAATTTCTTCCTATACCCAGTTGTGAGTGTGGAGGTCTTGCAAGAAACCCAGCTGTTCCTTGTGTCACTGAGGCTACAGTGAAGAAGTATAGAGAGAATGAATTCGTTACTAGATTTATTACTGGTTTGAATGATGCTTATGGTGGTGTTCGAACCAATCTATTCATGATGCAACCACTCCCATCTATGGAGGTTGCTTTTCATTATGCTATACAGCATGAAAGACAAGTTGCTAAACCTAACCCCGAGTCACAAGTAGATACAGTTGCCCTGCTTGCTGCAAATCAGAATAGGGGTAAAGAGAATGTGAAGGAAGGATTTTTTTGTCGATATTGTAAGAAGGAGAATCATGTTATAGCTGATTGCTATAGGCTGAAAAGGAAGAACAAAGAATCAGGGGGAACTTCTAGGTTTGCAGGACAAATTCAAGGACAAGACACTGTTGGAGCTGGTATTCTGCCTAAGCCTGAAACTAAGAGTGTGCCTGAAGGCAATGATGGGTACACCAACATCAGGCTCTCCAATGATGATCTAAGTCGTCTGCAAAGGCTGCTCAACCAGTACAGCCCCCCAGCATCTCCAACCTCTCCTGTTGCTCCAGGTGGATCAAACCTGGCTTCAGTCAATCAGCAATCAACTCCTATGGTCAACTCACTGAGTAGGCACCTATCTGTGAATCCTAATTTCTCAGGTAAGTTCACTTTAAATTCATACTTCCTTAAGCATCCAATGGAATTTGTCAGTGTTTGGTTTCTTGACACGGGTGCCACTGATCATGTCACCTGTTCTGTTTCCAATTTCCTAGAGTATAAACCAGTCCAAGGTATCCTCATAACCTTACCTGATGGATCTAGAACTCCTGCTACACATTGTGGTAGTGTTAGACTTACATCTGAACTGGTCATTCATGATGTATTGTTAGTTCCAGCCTTTTCATTCAACCTAGTCTCGGTTAGTAAGCTCACTAAGTCCATGCCAATCTTTCTCACGTTTGAGTCCAACATTTGTCACATCCAGGACCTTCAAACCAAGAGGAGGATTGGTTTTGCCCAAGAGACTAGAGGACTCTATCGACTTACCATACATCCAGAAGACACTACCAACCACCCTTGTTAATTCCATCAAGACTCAAAACTTATCACCCCAATCATTTGATCTGTGGCATTGGAGGCTTGGTCATCCTTCAATTTTTCGAGCCAAAGAACTACAGAAGACTATACCAGACATTTCTATAGGATCTTTTTCTCATTGTGATGTTTGTCACCTTTCCAAACAGAAACATTTACCATTTTCTTCAAGTCAAAATGTGGCAAAGAGCAATTTTGAACTTGTTCATGTAGATATTTGGGGGCCTTTGGCCACTGCTAGTTACAATGGATATCAGTACTTTCTTACCCTTGTTGATGATAGATCTAGATGTGTTTGGATTTATCTCATGAAACATAAAACTGAGGCTAAACAGTTATTGCAAGATTTCTGTGTTCTTGTTAGCACTCAATACAACCAACACATCAAAATCATCAGATCAGACCAAGGTGCTGAATTCCATATCCCTGATTTCTACTCTCAACATGGCATCATTCATCAGATGTCATGTGTTGCCACTCCACAATAGAATTCTAGAGTAGAGAGGAAACACCAACATATCTTAAATGTTGCTAGAGCTCTAAAATTCCAGTCTGGCTTACCTCTTAAATTGTGGTCAGATTTTGTCCTTCATGCAATTTACTTGATAAACAGATTACCCACAGTGGCTTTACAAAACAAAACACCCTATGAACAACTATATGGTACTCCTCCTGACCTATCCAACCTAAAGGTTTTTGGGTGTTTGTGCTATGCTAGCACATTGACACATAACAGAACCAAATTCTCACCTAGAGCTAAACCTTGTGTTTTTCTAGGATATCCACCTGGAATCAAGGGTTATCGTTTATATGACCTTACAGATCAGAAGGTGTTCTTCTCTAGACATGTGATTTTCCATGAAAACATAATCCCTTGTCTTCCTCTTCCTTCTTCTGATCCTTCTACACACCTAATGGAAATTCCCATGTCCCTCAACCTTCAACATCACCAGACTATTTTCCTCTCTTTCCTCCAGATAACCCATTTCCACCTATAGACAACTTACCTTCTTCTCCTTCTAGTCCACAAAATCCAGAACCAGAACCTATACCAGATCCTGTATCTCCATTTCCTTCTCCACAAATTACCACTCCTGCCACCTCTACTGATGACAGTTCAGCACAGACCACTTTCCCTTCTTCTTCTCCATCTCTTCCTATAGGCCTGCGCAAACAACCAAGACACACAATTCCACCTGTCAAATATCAGGATTATGTCTTGAATGTCAAAACCAACACTGACAAACATTCATATCCATTGGTTGCTTGCATTTCCTTTGATAATTTATCTCTGGACTATAGGAAGTATGTCTGTGCTGTGGATTCTGCCTTGTTACCTAGAACTTTTGAGGAGGCTATGCAAGATGAAAGGTGGAGACAGGCAATGAATGAGGAAATTAGAGCTCTTGTGGCTAATGGAACCTGGGATTTGGTTCATTGCCCCACTGGGAAAAGACCAATTGGCTGTAGATGGGTGTTCACTATCAAGTATAATTCAGATGGAACAGTTGAGAGATATAAAGCTAGGCTTGTTGCCAAGGGCTTTACTCAAATCTATGGAGTTGATTTCTTGGACTCTTACTCTCCTGTTGCCAAGTTGAATTCTGTCAAGACTCTTTTGGCCATTGCAGTTGCTAAAAATTGGTCAATGAACCAGCTGGATGTTAGTAATGCATTTCTCCATGGGGATATGGATGAGGAAGTGTATATGGATTTACCACCAGGTCTATCTCAAGATGGATTTGTTTGTCGTTTAAAGAAGTCACTTTATGGTTTAAAACAGGCTTCTCGTCAATGGTTTTCTAAATTGACTACAGCCTTAATCAACTTTGGTTATGTTCAATCTCAAAGTGATCATTCCCTTTTCATTCATCATGGAGATCAGGGCACTTCTGTTTTATTGGTTTATGTCGATGATATCATCATTGCTGGGGATGATGATCAAGGCATGACAGATCTTAAGGCATTCTTGCAATCCCAGTTCAAGATTCGTGATCTAGGCAATCTTCATTACTTCCTTGGTTTAGAGATTGCTAGATCACAGGGGGGTTTGCATATATGTCAACGCAAGTATTGTACTGATATCTTACAAGACACTGGTTTTGCTGATAGCAAACCAGTAGTGACTCCAATTGATATGAAGACCTATTTAACTGCTGATGATGGACCATTGCTTGATGATTCAACTATGTACAGGAAGATTGTTGGCAGACTTCACTACCTCACCATCACACGACCAGAAATCACCTTTGCTGTCCAACAACTTTGTCAATTTCAAGCTGCTCCAACTTCATCTCATCTCAAATTGGCACACAGAATACTCAAATACTTGAAGAACCAGGACAAGGTTTATTTTACCCATCTCAATCCGACCTTCTCTTACAGGGATACTGTGATTCTGATTGGGCATCATGCCCAGATTCGAGGAGGTCTACTACAGGGTATTGCATTACACTTGGGAAATCATTGATTATTTGGAAATCGAAGAAACATGGAACTGTTTCGAGGTCTTCCTCTGAAGCTGAGTACAGAGCTCTTGCTCAGTTAACCTGCGAAGTTGTTTGGGTTAAGCGGCTGATACAAGAACTGAACATCCAACATCCTCAACCTGTACAGCTGTTCTGTGACAATCGATCTGCGATTTACATTGCAGAAAATCCCGTCTTTCGTGAGAGGACGAAACATATCAAAATCGATTGTCACGTTGTTCGACAGTTTCTTCAATCCAGATATAGAAAATCAGATTGCTGATTTATTCACAAAAGGACTCAGCCGACATCGACTCCAGTTTCTGATGTCCAAGCTGATGCATACACAATCTGTATGCATCAGCGTGCACCCACGCCTCCTACTGCTCCGACTGCATATCCCGCCACGTCGCGACAAAAATCTGGCAGAGCGTGGTGACCGTCACCTGCCCTGCGTCAGGATGCGGGACCGAGCTGGAATCGTGCATCGCTGCTCTCCCCAAGGCCGTGACAGAGCAGTGGGAGGAGGCCTTGTGCCGGAACTTGATCAGGGAGTGGCAGAGGTTTTACTGTCCGTTCAGGGGCTGGCTGGCGATGGTTATGGTGGAGACCACGCAGATGCGACGGTTGAGAGGAACGACGACGGTCGGCATGGAAAATAATATTCAAAGAAATTAGGATTTTCTTTTATAATTTTTATAATAATTAGGTGGAAAATAAAAAATAATTTTATTTTTATTTTTTATTTTTTTTAATTGCCACATCACTCATTTAACGGTCAACTACAAGAGTTGACCCCCACATAAGCAAAAGTTAACGGAGACTAACGGCCAGTGACCAAACTGTTGGTTGCCTCGAGCGCGAGACTCTATACCTATTCTTTGAACAACTTAACCACAAATAAACTCAATTATACTATTTTACCCAAATAAACTTAAACAGCTAAGCAACGGTTAATTCCACTTAATGTGTCTGCTAGCTCAGTCCTCGGACTAAACTCTACACACTGATTAATTAACTTAGTTTAATCACTCGAATTAAACCTTCACCAAGACTAACAGTTATGCTCACAATTAAAGCCTACCGTTTTTGACTGACTGGGCTTCTAAGCCCACCTAATCAATACCCGCTGGAGAAATAAACCAAGTTAGTAAAACCCAGCCCAACTAAAAGGTCGAACCAACCCAGTCTTTAATTGACCCAACAAAACGGCGGTGTTTTAAATTCAAGTTCGGTCTTCCCTCCTACTCTCTCCTTCGATCCAAGGTTAATCTGCTTCTTTCAAAATGAAGAACAAAGCAAGAAAAGTTAAGAACACAGTAATATAAACTCAGCCAAGAATGAACCCAGTTATGTCAAGCCCAGCTTCACGAGTTCCTCAACTCTTGTTGAGGTACGTCGCCTTCCCTGGCTTCTCCTGGATCGCGTTCCCCTGCACAACCTGACCTGGAACAGAACACAAGCAGAGGGACACACAGACTGGAAATTGAAAAGGAGAAAACAAACCCAACACACGATTTTTACGTGGTTTCCAGTATTGGGAGAATGAGGATCCCAATACTGACTACTCCACGGTCGGAGACTCACTATTGTGTGATCTCCGACGATTCACTAAAGATATTTCGTTGAAGTTCGATGTAAATCTATCTACCCAAGAACCCTTTGATCAATCTCAGCCCGATTGATCAAACACTCTCTTCTCAAACCCCAAATTGCTTCCCCAGCAACTCGTAACAGTGTTTCCCCAACACTAACCCTCAAAGCAATTCTCCCCAAACCCTTTGAGAAACCCCCTTTTCTATCAACCTTGCTACTCTCTCACAAAATCCCCTTTTGTCTTAGCTAGCTTTGTTGATCTCCGAAAAGGTTGCATTGCTCTTCCTTCAAATCGCCTTTTATAGGCTGCCAAGTAGCCGTTGCTAATTCAAATACCTTCCCTTATTAGTGATGATTTGCTTGAGATTCCATCTTCTGATTTGATTTGCATTGTTGTACAAAATCTCCTTAATCTGATATCTCCTCTTATTTTCTTCCTTCTTTCCATGTTTGCTCCTGATCTTCTTTCCTTCTCAAGTGGCCTTTGACTAGCTTGTTCCAACATTCTCCCCCTCAGCTGTCAATGGCCAACATTCCCCCCTGAACAGAATGTCACTAACTTCAGACTAAACTTGTCAAAGCTTCACTCTTAATCTGCTAATAATCAGAACCTGCACACTTAAGCAAACCGTTGGTGTAGCCTGTCCAACAAACAACTAAGGGCTATCATGAGTTGAAAAGACAACTTGGAGTCCATTTTTATTCGTAGAAATAGTAATCAAGGTACATTTAAAACAGTGACTCACCATGACAAAGTTTAAACTCATTCAAGCAAAGAACAATGACCCAACAGACTATGACTCAAACATAAAAGAGACATCCGACTTCTACTTGATTAAACCAACCCAATCCATAAAGGATACAACATACTTTTACTTGATTAACCTAAACCACACCATTCAACTAACTCTAATTCATCTATGGATCTCCCCCTAAGCCTAGTAGTCAACGTTCCTAGTAGGTGTAATCCGGAGACGAAGCATACTCCGACGGGTCGTCTTCCTCATTCTCCGAAGGTAAGAATAAAACCTTGTTAACCTTCTTGCCAGAAGAACTGGCCTCTTTCCCTTTTAGGGCCACGGTGAGATCATGAAGAATAACTTTTCCCTCCTTCTCCAGCTTTATCCCTTCCTGGAGATGTCTCATGTTTAGACCCCTCTTGCGCTTTCCGGACGATTCTGCCACTTCCTTTCCTTTGCCAAGTCTCGCAGACAACGCTGCAGTATTGTCGTCTTCATTAGGTTCGGATTCAGGTTCGGATTCAGACTGAGCAGATTTGTCTCCCCCTTGAACTTTGGCAAGTTTTCGAGGTCCAAGCGCCGAGAGAGTGCGGCGAAGAACATGCTGAGCTTGAAGGTCTGAATGAACATCCCTTTTAGTAATTTTTCCACGCAAATCAACCCGTAAGATTGCCAGCAGATAGGTGATTTGCGGGCCAAAAGGCAGCTTCCCGCTACACTCTTCATCTTGATATTTAATTATGTGATTAAACATCAGGGAGGCATAGCTGATCGGGCAACTTGTCTTTGCGTTGAACAGAATCCAGAGATCGGACTCGTCCAGAATGGTGGCCTGTTCAGCAGCGCGAGGGAGAAACACGAGCGACAATGATTCAAAGGGAGCCACATAGGGAAGGAATTGATCGAACAAAAGAGGGGATGAGGGCATTAGTGATTTGTTCGAACAGAAGCTTAGGGATTTTAGGCAGTCGCTGAAAAAGAAAAGGCGCCACCATTTTGCTGAACTGGAATCGCACGAGCGACAGAGAAAGTCTGCTAGGGTGGAGATTGGGCTTATGCCCACAACCCGAGTGAGCGGCGCTAGCAGAGGATTTCGAATGAGGGGATTGAACATGCATGAATCTCATGGAAGGCTGGGAGATGGACAGGAGAGTGAGCTAGGCTTAGGCCCACAAGGCCTGGTGAGGGGCTTAGAGAATGAGGGCTGAGGACACACATTGAATGTGTTTAAGAAGGCTTAGCCCACTTATTATGATTAGACCAAGAGGCCATAATCAGACCTTGAATAAGCTTAACCTAAATTGTTAATTTCACTAGACAGAATAAGCCCTAGTTCTCGACGAATAGTTAGAAATTGGTCAGCACATAGAGGTTTAGTGAAAATATCTGCCCATTGGTTTGTCGTAGGCACAAATTCTAGTTGAATTTGGCCATCTTCAACCAATTCTCGAATAAAATGGTACCTGATTTCTATGTGTTTGGTACGAGAATGTTGAACCGGATTTTTAGCCATTTTAATGGCACTCGTATTATCACACAAAACGGGCATGGACTTTATTTCTAACCCGTAGTCACAAAGTTGATGCTTCATCCAAAGGAGTTGAGTACAACATAGGCCTGCGGCCACGTATTCAGCTTCAGCGGTGGATAGAGCAACAAACTTTGTTTCTTACTAAACCAAGACACAAGAGAATTTCCTAGAAATTGACATGTCCCGGAAGTACTCTTACGATCAACTATGCACCCAACATAGTCTGAGTCACTATATCCAATTAAATCAAGACTTGACTCACAGTCATACCATAGACCTAGATCCATTGTACTAGCTAAGTAACGAAAGATTCTCTTGACCGCAGTCAGATGACTTTCCTTAGGAGCACTTTGGAATCTAGCACAAAGACACACACTAAATTGGATATCAGGTCTACTAGCAGTAAGATACATTAGTGACCCAATCATTCCTCTATAGAACTTCTCGTCAATTGACTTATCCGACTCATCCTTGTCTAGTTTAATGGTAGAGGCCATAGGTGTAGTTGCAGTTTTTAGATTCCCAATTCAAAACGTTTTAACATATTTTGAATGTACTTGGTTTGACTGATGAAAATGCCTCGAGTTGTTTGTTTAATTTGCAAACCCAGAAAATAACTTAATTCACCCATGGCACTCATTTCAAAGGACTTCTTCATGATATTTTCGAAATATTCGCACAACTCTTTGCTAGAAGATCCAAATATAATGTCATCAACATATATTTGAACTAGCAACAAATGTTGTCCTTTATCTTTTATAAAGAGAGTTTTATCTATTGAGCCCCTTTTAAAACCTTCTCCTAAAAGAAAAGAACTAAGTTTTTCATACCATGCTCGGGGTGCTTGTTTAAGTCCATATAGTGCATTCTTTAATTTATAGACATGGTTTGGGTATCTAAAGTCTTCAAAACCGGGTGGTTGTTCCACATACACTTCCTCTTTTAAATCCCCATTTAGAAAAGCACTTTTGACGTCCATTTGAAAAAGTTTGAAAACCTTAGAGCTTGCAAATGCACATAACATTCTAATAGCCTCTAATCTAGCTACCGGAGCAAAGGTTTCATCGAAATCTATTCCCTCTTCTTGATTATACCCTTTAGCTACTAACCTAGCCCTGTTTCTAGTTGCTACCCCATTCTCATTAGACTTGATCTTATAAATCCACTTAGTCTCGATAATAACTCTATTAGGTGGTCTGGGTACCAACTCCCACACATTAGCTCGTTCAAACTGACTCATTTCTTCATTCATAGCAGCATTCCAGTTTTCATCATTCAAGGCATCTAACACGTTTTTAGGTTCAACCAATGACACAAAAGCAGTATGCACAATTGAATTTCTAAAGCGAGTGACCATACCTTCATTAAGCCCTCCTATCATAAGTGAAGAAGGATGACGTTTGGCAATATGAGGAGGAGGTTGTCTTACTTCATGGTCTTGCTCGATCGGAGAGTTTGTAGTACTTACTACTTTATCTTGGTCTTCGGATATGATTGTTCTGGGTTCAGATTTCTCCATGTTTGATGTCCTTGGTAGATCATAGCTCCCACCAAGTCCAAAATCATCTTCATCTATCTCATCTGAACACTCATTAGCAGATTCATCAAATATCACATTTATGGACTCTTCCACTTTGAGAGTCCTTTTGTTGAATATTCTATATGCTCTGCTAGTCATGGAATAGCCTACAAACACACATTCATCAGACTTGGCATCAAACTTCCCGAGATGCTCTTTGGTGTTTAATGCAAAGCACTTGCAACCAAAGGGATGGAAGTAACTCAGATTGGGTTTTCTTCCTCTCCAAATCTCATAAGGAGTCTTCTTAATTCCAGATCTGATCAAGGCTCGATTAGTAATATAGCATGCAGTATTTATGGCTTCAGCCCAGAAGTACTTAGGCAAACCATAGTCATGTAACATTGTTCGAGCTATGTCAATCAAAGTCCGATTTTTCCTTTCCACCACTCCATTTTGTTGCGGAGTTCGAGGAGCAGAAAAATTGTGACTTATTCCTAGCTTATTGCAGAAGAGTTCAAATTTTTCTGAGATGAATTCTCTACCATGATCACTTCTAATGCTAGCAACCTTAGATTGTTTTTCATTTTCCAATCTCTTAGTTAGAGACTCAAAATTTTGAAAAGCTTCACTTTTGCTAGCTAGAAACATTACCCAAGTGAAACGAGAGTAGTCATCTACAATTACAAAAGCATAGGACTTACCTCCGTAGCTTACCACATTGGTTGGTCCAAAGAGATCAAGATGGAGTAGTTCAAGTGCTCTCGATGTAGATATTACCGACTTACTCTTGAAGCTAGACGTTGTATGCTTTCCTTTAGCACAAGCATCACAAAAGAATTCCTTTTTGCCTTTTAACTTAAGCAGACCTCTAACTAGCTCAAGATCACTTAGTTTAGACAGAATTCCTATACTCACATGTCCAACCTTCCTATGCCAATCTATTTGATCATTTTTCTCTAAAGACATTAGACAGGTTACCTTAAAACTTTCTTTATCATCTAGATTTATCACATATAACTTATTTTTACGTCTACCGGTGAAAAACACTTTCTTATCCACCAATGACTCGATGTAGCAACAATCATGTTCAAAATTTATCCTCTTATCTTTGCCACACATTTGACTAATAGAAAACAGATTATGCTTCAGACCTTTTACTAACATCACATTTTCAATGCATGGATCTGAACCAACTATTCCTCTTTCTATTATGTCGGCAGAATTATTGTCACCAAAAAATACCTTACCACCTTTACCTTCTTTGAGTGTGGTGAATAGTTTTCGATTTCCCGTCATGTGGTGTGAGCATCCATTGTTTAGAATCCATTCAGTTGCCTCCATGCTCACTTGGAAGCAAACCTGCGCCATTAGCAGTCATGCAGTTTTGGGTTTTTGTATCCAGACTTTCTTGGATACAGTTTGTTTGTGATCTTTGATAAAACAAAATCTACTAATGTGACCGACTTGATGACAAGTAAAGCAAGTTCTATATTTTTCATCTAGAATTCTCTTCCTACATACTCGCCTAATGTGCCGAACCTCATGACAATAGAAACATTCTATGCTCCTATATCTTTGTTTTGAAGATCCATTCCTCTCATGCTTTAATGACTTTTCAAAAATCTTTGACTTGCCTTTACTGCATGAATTTGATCCTAAGTTTTCACAACATTCCTTAGTGGAGTGATTTAGGTAATAATTACCTTCCTTTCTTAGAGATTCATTTTTATTTCCTTCTAATGATTCTTGAAGTTTTACCGTGAGACTCGATTTCTCATTTTCTAAGACTTCAACTTTCTTAGTAGTTTCTTCAAACTCTTCTTTTAATCTGACCGACTCCTTCTTTAGTTCATCATATTCAATATTTATTTTGGCATAATCAGATTTTAGTTTAGAGTATTTTACTTTAACATTTCCAAACTCTAACTGAATTTCCTTGATAGTGGACATTAATTGATCATCATCACTATAGTAATCACTATCACTAAAGTAAGTCTGGTTGGAACATTTTACCTCGTTTGGGTTATGTCTTTCTGATGGCTCCTCAACGTCAATAGCCATGTAGCTTTCTTCTCTTGATTCCTCTACATCTTCATCTTCTTCTTCGCTGCAGCTCCATGTTGCAGCCATGGCTCGTTCTTTTCTTGCTAGAGGATTTTCAACCTTGATATGCCCAGTTTTCCCACATCTAAAGCATCCGGTAGTGTTTTGTACCTTAACCGGCTGAACCTGATCAATCTTGTTTTTGTGGAATGCTCTTGATTGAGGGTATTTTGATGTACCACCTTCTTTCTCAAACTCTCTATTCTTGTTAACAAAGTTTCCTCTTCGTTTTTCTTTTCTTACTTGAAGTAGTCTACTAATTTGTTTGCTTAGTAGAGCTAGTTCTTCATCCTCCATATCATCGAGATCTTCTGGATCTTCATTATATGTGGTAGCCTTGAAGGCTATTCCCTTTTTCCCTTTATCATGATTTCCCTTGTTGAGCTTGTCTTCATGAGTTGCTAATGACCCGATGAGTTCATCTATGGCTAATGTTTCTAGGTCTTTAGCTTCCTCTATTGCAGTTACCTTTGGAGTCCATTGCTCTGGGAGACTCCATAAAATTTTTCTAACAAGATCTCCACTTTCATATGATTTCCCAAGATTCTCCAGACTATTCACAATGTTTGTGAAACGCTCGTACATTTGCCGGATTGTTTCTCCTTCTTCCATTTTGAACAACTCGAATTGCTGTTTTAAGGAATTAATTCGAGAAGTTTTGACTTGAGAGGTACCTTCATAAGTAACCTGGAGTTTATCCCAGATTTCCTTAGCAGTCTTGCAACCAGCAACTTTGTGATATTCTTCTGGACCGAGTGCACAATACATGAGATTAGTTGCCTTGCAGTTTTGCTGAAATTTCTCAAAGTCCTCGTCTGTCCATTTTTCTTGATCCGCCTTGAGTTCATACGGACCCTTGATGACTCTAGCCCAGAGTTTTGGATCTGTGGATCCAACAAATAATACCATCCGATTTTTCCAATATCCATAATTAACCCCTTCAAATCTGGGAGGCCGA